TAGTCAGCTAACTGGCCTGTATCGTTGTCCCCAGTGGGTGTACACTATAAATCGGTTTATGTTGTGATATGCGGAAATATTTGTATAAATTACTCTATAGATGTATGCGCCATCGATCGCCTGTTTTCCCGCTCTCGCTACTGGTTATCTGGGACAGTCATATCTATTGTGACCGTTAATATAAACCGTTAATATAATTACAGTCCCTGCCCGTAACATGACCGTCGTTCGCGTGTTGCAGTACTTTAATAAATGACACAATCCTTCGCGTAACAACATTCACCACATTTTGCGTGGTCTGTAGTCAATGCGTGTAGGCGTCATATAATTGAGATAAAATCCGGCTCAAATCATCAAGCTTTACTGGTAATGTTGACAGATATCTTACGTAGAGTGCAGCTGGTAGATTAGAGCAGCGAACCATTTCCAAATGCATAGACACGTACAAGAAACTTCTGCTTTATAGTTCGATGGCGTCGGGCTGCTCATTTCGATAACAGCACCTTATTATATTACAAAACCAATTTTTTGCACGTTGACGCAACGTTTTCGCAAAAAAACAAACAATTGTAAGGCCAACAATAATCAACCCAAGTAACGATCCCCCAACCATTGCCGCAATTTGCCAGTTTGTAAACTTGGCAACCTTTTCTCTTTTCTGTCCTTCCTTTTCGAATTCCGCGTCAATCGCAAGTTGCTTTTTGTAACAGGCTTCCTCCAGTTTTCGGATTTCCTCAGGTGGAACCCGTAAGGTCCCCACTCGTCCGCGGTAGTAATTTAGACAATATTCGGGCTTTAACTGACCGCAGATGGTTGTCGATATATTACCCGGGTCAGTGTGGTCGATCGGACAATCAGCATAAGGCTTCCCTTCAATTCTGCAAAAAAACAAAACAATCACAGATAGAACGAACATGCTGAACATTGTATCAGCTAAAGGAATTTTATGACAAGACTGGCTCCCAATCAGACAGCCAGGAGCGAGCTAACTAAGATTCTAGACTACACATCTGTAAAAATGCGAAAGGATGTTTATAAAGTATCGATCCGAAGTATCAGCATAAACGCCGTCCTACAAATGTGGGGAAGTGGCTAGGGAAGCATTCGAATCCACGTCGACTGCGTACCGCGCTGCCGTTCACCTGCAGTATATAAAAGCGAAAGCTCGCAATTTCTTCGCCGGAAGGGTCTCTGGTATAAGAGAAAGTGTTACCATTCGTTTTCGCACAACAGCATTTTATGCAGCGGATAGTCTGGATTATTAAATACGAGTCGGTGGAGTATCGTTTAACGTCCTAGGCAGCTTTCAGTTCTGACGTACGGCCTGTCTGCGTAGTACGCAGACAGGTATATGTATATTACCATATTTTGTTGTAATTCGTAGTTGTTAGTTATCATAATTGTATCAAAACTGTGAAAACTATGGCAAATTTGTATCTTACTCGTCACAGCCATTTTTGATTAATTCATTCGTATACTTGTATGGAGTATTACATATCAGAAAGAATTAATTGTGCATTTGTAATTCAAATCTGTGGCTTCCACTAAAACTATTCAAGTGACTTTGACCAATGATAAGCTCTCTCCCGGGTCACATTGCCGCCATGACCTGTCTTGTTATGTCCTGGCTCACACAGTTCATTATGCAGCCAGGGAGCTGTTCAAGCGCAGGCAAAATGCCACTATGAAACAGCAGCGACTCTGACAACAACGGCTGCCTTTTCACTACGCTACAACTCTCACCTAATAAAAAACAATTACTAGTATTAAATGTGGTGCGCTCTACCCACAAAAAATTCGTTGGTTGTTAAGCTTCTCGCGCACAAGTTTTTGCTATGATTCGCTGTGTCCAGAAAGATAGTTGCTAAAAATGGAAAAAAATACTCAAAATGAACTGCTTTTTGGAAATTGCATGGACGAACGAAATTTAAACAGCAAGGTTAATCTGGACAGTTGGGAGTGTGGCTAATTCGGCGCGCGACTTTTCGCCGTTCAGACATTTCGCCGCGACACAAACGGAAGCTGGGATATTTCTAACGAAAAATAATGCAGAATAGCAGGTTCTCAAACACAAGCGTCTGACCATCTTGAAACGTGCAGCAGATTTTCAAAGTGCTGATGAAAACGCGTTCACTTTCTGTGAATCGAGTGAGCGTTTTTACCAGCGTGAAGGAGCTGGTGCTGATTTTTTTGAGGAATCGTGAAAGTATAAATAAATTTCCTTTGGGTGTATTTAGAGTCGTGAGTCGTGAAAAGACAAGCGCACATGCTGTGGTTGCCAGATGTTATTCAAAAATTAATTAATAGCGGTTATGTGGATCGTTCGTTTACCTGTCAAAATTATTACGGTTGTACGAGTAATTGTAATAATTCGTATTTGTAATAATTCGTAATAGGCCATTAGGCACAAGTACAGCGTGCATACCTGAATTAGGCTGAATGAGAGCCATGATTGTCAAATAGCCACTAAAATCACAAAACGACTTTGCAATTACGTACAGACTGTGGAAGTACGGGTACAGTAGTAGCACATTACCCAGAGGAGAAACAAATTGGAGAACGATCCAACTACTAACGTACGCTTAGATATTAAAGAAAATCTTTGCAAAAATGCAGCAGCAGCGCGTACAACCCACAGTATGTATTTTTTTTAGTTTGTCAATACGATTTTAATAAATGATTTACTTCACGACACGAAGAAAGCAGCAGCCCCAGACCAAGAAGTAATTCGTCATCGGCAATGCGTTCATCGGGTTTTCGCTGCTGAACGAGTACGTCATTATGGTATATATACGTCAATACGATATAATAATGTACTGTAATAACTTTGTATTTCGCAAATACATGCAGTGCACTATTAAGCGGCATGTGTCGTCAGTGCTCGCGGCTTTATCATTAGTTTTAACTTTTAAGTGATCATTCCGATAGAAATTCCTATTCGGTTAGAAGATAAATTCTGGAAGCGATGGACGTTGTTTGTGTTTTGAGTCGCGAAAATTTGAGTAGAAAGGGGTTCTAATGGCACTGTAACTCCAATAAAGTTTTAAATAAAAAACTGTAGGTTCTGTTTTGCGTTAATATAGCATTACGGTAACAGGTCAAGCCGCAATGGAATAAGTACGAAATCACTGATTAGGGGAAGTACGAAATCACTGATCGAGAGGGGCAAAAAAGCGTGCTATGCATCAACGCACGGCCAGAGCAGATGAAAAGTCACTGGAATTACAGATTAGTATTATCGTGCGAACTGCGAACCAACGAAAACTCGGAAACAGGAAATGCAAAAACAAACAGATTACAAAGGGTGTCTTTGCTTCCCAGCTGATCGTATGGGTCCACAATGACGTTCATACTCTTTGGGATGTATGCATGTTTGGAAGAGCGATTTCCGGTTGTATACCCAGGTTTGTGTGCGCTCGTCCCTTGGAACCGTGTGCTAATAACTCATCAGGTCGTAAGGATAAAGTGACCCTTATAAGGATTCTGCTGGGAAAAAATCTAGTTGGTTTGCTATTGTCCGGAGCACAGTTGTAGTACAGCGCGCGGCATAATCTGAGCTATATATGTATGACCGTACTGTACTCGTATTACAGCAGTGTGAAAGTGTAATGCATTGGCCAGATTCCACTCGCAGCATCGTCCAGAACATAAAAATCGGAAGCCTAATATGTATTATGCGTGCTGATACCAATACGGGTGTAGAGTGTCTGTTGTGGTAATTTGTACCGGTTTATTCATTTTTGTGTCTATTGTGGTAATTCTGTTTTTCTTTTCTTGACGACTTCTCCTATACTATCTGTGCAACCGCAACGTTTTCTATGGCAGCGCTTCTGAACTTGCGAACGACATTGTAATTCCTATTAGCTGGTACGCATTACAAAGTCAATTAAAAAATCTGGTTAATTGGACCACAAGTTACTTTTCTGGAAATTAAATCTAGTTTATAATTTAACAAATTGCATGTGGGGCGTTTGAAGCGTTGTGGCCAAATCGTGTCGACGAACAACCAGAGGCTGGAAGCGGTCTTCCACAAGAATACACAACCTCAGTGGTCATCAGCTGAACTGACCACTAATTTGACCTTTCTCTGTACTGGCAATTCCTTGATTTAATCGGGTAAAAAACCAATTTCGTTCTACACACTCTCGTCTACTTTTTTCAGACTGGCTATACAGAACAATCTTCGGGTGGTAAAGTCTTTAAATCTGCGAATCTCAAGTTTGGAGCGGACGGAATGTGGACAAACAACAAGCTGTTGTATATGTCTATTGTTCTTGTAACACTTTTTTGGGAAGTTCTTGATGTGTTAACGATGTCGCCGTTCAGCTGCTGCATGAGTTTTACAATTTGTTTTGCGGAATTTTGTCCAAAGCCAGACAATCCCATTTGGATCGTGATGCACTAAGCAATAGGCGAAATGCGACTTTCTTACGGTGTGACAAAATATTACGTGCTATTTGATAGTGATAATTAAAAGCTTTAAGCAAAAAGCGTACAAGAACACAAAATATTTTTTTAAGATTAACCAGAGGAGGAATAATCGATTACTCACAGACTAAGAAATAACACAACCGTTTCATGTGTGTGAATTTTCTTTCTAATAAAACATGAATAAATCAAAAATATTTAAGGCTCACTCCAGTTTATTCCCTTTACTGGTTTGGTAATTAGTAAGCACTCTGTGGCTGGTTTTATGAGCACATTTGTTGCTGATTGTGCGTTATCGGTTGTTTTGACTGCTGGACTGCGCAAATCGACGCCGACACAAAGGGCTGAGTCGGCATTTGTTTTCCAGTCCTGCGGCAAGCGAGTTGAGGCTCGTCGCATGAAGTCATGGGTGACTTAAGCACTGCCGTCACTCAGCAACTGTACCGGTGCCGCTCTAAGGCGCTCTTTGTTCGCCACCTGGGATTATTCCCCGGCACTTACTGCAGTACATCACGCGTACGCAATACACCAATCAGCGCATTCTCCCACCCTCATCGCCAGATTCGCCACAGTGGGTTTTTGCCTCTGGATTAACTATATAAACGAGCCACCGTGGAAATTTACAGATCTTATTTCCGCCGGATAAAAATTGACTTTACAATCTGCACTTCGACTACATCATAGTCTTTTCGTTTCACCTTTATCGGTTCGTCTTCGCGTTTTGTGTGACACCTGTGGATTACCGTAATACAACTATCAGGTACGTCGAAAGAACTGCCAGACGGCTTCTGCACGGCTTTTTGCTTTTTTTGCTGGATAATTTGGTATTTATCATAGTGGTGGTAATGTAAACAGCGAGCGATTTTCATATCATAGCACTTAAGGCTTTTCCCTACACTGCTTTTCCACTGCTTTATGTCTAAATTCATGTTTGTCAGTAGCCGTATAAGCCTGTATCGGTAAATTCACTACTCGTATGTCGCATAGTATTGTACTTGTTTTCAGTAATGTACCTAGATACTCAAATTTTATGGTGTAGCTAATTTCTTTTTTCACTCTACTCTGCGCTAACGTCTGCCGAAAAATCGAAAGCGAGTTCGTTAATACAAAGTGTTGATTTGCAGTTAGCAATGGACGCTGCCGGAAAAGCCAACCGCACCAACCAGTGCAATCCGACCCATGAGCCCTCGGGACCGGGTCACAACGCCGGATACAAGGGCGACGGGAGCAAAGCCGACCGAGACAACCATTCCAACCAGGGAAATCCCAATAATGCCAAACACGGCGGCGGTCAGCAACAGCAGCAGGGAAAGGGAAAGAACTGATTCCCCGCCTACAATGTGTTCATCGTGTACATTCCTACCTGTACTCTAATAACGATCTTTTGCAGTAATTTGTGGTAATGAATGTTTTTTAGTTTGTTATCATTCGATAGGATGTATGTTTCTTTATGAACGAAATCTGAGAACGATGAACGGTGTTTCTGCTTTGAAAGGGCGTACTTTCTGTGTGTTGTACTGATACTATTCCAGTAAATACAAAACTCTGATTAAAATAAGCGGCGCTTTGGTGGATTGCAATGAAATCTTTAGCACATTTGCTGCGCATGACATACTTGCAAAAGAATCTGCTGCAGAGGAAATTCAAGTAGAAATCCTAGTACAGACGCGATAATCTAAAACTCTGTTTTTAAATGTACAGGTTATCTTGTGCCAAAACGCGTAGTGGAGTAGCGATTAACTACCACTACAGTACTTACGGGAAAAACCCCGGTCAGTGTTACAACCTTCGTGTACTGTGCATGCATCTTTGCATGGGAAGTTTGCTTTCGCGCATTCCACTGATTCCAGGACGCTTTTTTGTGCGAAGCACTACTGCATGTCATTATGTTATTGACTATTGTGTAAGTAATCAAATGGCTCGTATCAAATGACCTCGTACAATACGTCAGCGTAAAAATTACTTACGCGCCCAACGTCCGGCTGGGAATTTATGAGTGTGAGATTTCGAAAGGTCCATATAATTATGATGTACGAAATTCCAGTGTACTGTTTTGTAAGTGTACCAGGTCGGGAAGGTCGCCTTGGGGGTAAAAATGCGTCCATTCTACCGAAAAACGGCCATCGACACGATCATAGGACGACTGTTACGACTTGAAGCGAAGGAAGCACGGTGACCGATAGCTACAGTAATATTGTAGTGTAGCGGCATAGTGTCTATGCCGGACATTGGCAGTTTTCTAAGCGCCGTCCTGCTCGTTGTATTTTCAGACAGTTGCGTGGCAAAATTTTTATTTTTGTAGCGATCACACCATGAACAGCTTCCAGAATTGTTGTAAATTGTAAGAGCCATGTCGGTCGTTAAGTCAATCGTGTATTCGCGCAGTGGTTAAAAAGCCTTGGAAATGCAAATTTTCTGCCGAAGAAATTAAGTACCTCGTACCAAAATATTGCTGAAAAGTGAAAACAAGACATATTCACTTAACATAATATTCACAAGAAAGCGAGCAAGTGCGCGAGGATCATCAAAACTTACAGAGAACAAGACGTATCTGTACTTAGTGTTTTATTCATAGTTTGAAAGATTATTGAAGAATTCGTGCGTATGAATTTCTTTTTAATTGTTTAAACGCAAAAAACCGACACACTTCCACGGCTTATGCGAACGTTTTTTCTTCATTCGGTTTCCTTTGCAAAATACATAAGAATACACTTACAGCTGCTTTTATCAGAGTAACAGTTTGGGATTGTGCGTTATCGGACGTTTTGACTGCTTGATTGCACAAATCTGCGCCGGAACAATGGACCCAGGTGGCATGAATGTCTTCCAGGCCTGCGACAATCCAGATAAGGCACGCCGCCTGAAGTCATGGATGTCTCAAACAGTGTCATCGGGTAGCAACAGTGCTGTTGCCGCGTTTCTTTGTTCATTGCCTGGGATAATTCCCCGGCGCTTACGGCAGCGCATCATGAGTACGTAATATACACCAATCAGCGCGCTTGGCTCTTCCCATACATCGCCACTGCGGGCTTTGCCTCTGGCCTGGCGATATATATAAATTGCCGTTTTTCGGAATCGTTTCTTCCAGAGTAAACTTGTGAAATATTCACTTCCGCATCATATCGCTTTGCTACTTTTCAACATTTTCGATTTGTCCTTTGTTTAGTGTTGCACCTGTGGATTACAGTACTATAACACCCGCGAAGTAAGTCGTAAGGACAGCCTCCTTACAGTATTTCCACCTTGGTTTGCTTTCACTGTTTCGTGCTAATTCTCAACACTACGCAAATCTTGTTCCAGGGAAAATCTTCGAATTATTTTTTAACATGTTAAAACTGCATATTTCGAAATTTGTTACAATTTAGTCGCCTATTCTGCATGCAGTCTGCACTGGCCTTATACTCCGTGTGTAGATACAATTGTCAGTTGTACAGTACCTGTTGCTGTTAATATCGATTAAATTTAATCGTGTGTTGACGCGTAGTGGCGACAGATTTTGTTTAATTCTGTAGTCAGATATTCATTGGAAATAATTGGTCGGATTTTCAGTCGCTGATGTAATTTGCTGGTATTTGGTATACAGAACTATGGATCCTGCTGGTCAAGCAAACCGCGCTAACCAGTGCAACCCCACCCATACCCCGTCCGGACCGGGTCGCGATGCCGGGTACAAGGGAGACGGCAGCCAGCCCGATCGCGACAACCATGCTAATCAGGGAAATCCCAACAATGCCAACTACGGCGGCGGCCAGCAGCAGCAACCAGGAAAGAAGTAGTTGACCAGCGACAGTGCGTTCATCATGTGTATGCCAGTCTGGAGTTAGAATTGGTAGGAGTATGTGTTGCCGGCATGTGTCGTCGTCGTTGTTTTTTATTTCCTGTAATCATTGCGATAGGAATTATAGCTTTCGTATTAGGAAATGGGGAAATGATGAACGTTGCTTGTGTTCCGAAGTCGCGAGTGTTTGAGTAGTGCTGACACTTTCCAGTAACTCTTGTGAAAATGTTAATAAAAAATATAAAATAAACAATAATTGACGGTTTGAATACGGTTACGAAGTGGTTTTTTGGCATAACAACTGCCAGTGGTGTTAAGCGGTACTGGACAAAACTCTTACAGAAAATTATGCGTCGGCCTTCGGTACTTATCTATACACATAACATTTGCATCATGTTTGCCGTACAATGCAAAAAATAAGCACCTGATGGAATTAAACTGATCAGAGATGAGTAATTACGTATGCAACATGGGCCATCGCTAGGCAATGTTGTTGGTCGAATGCCAGGTTTACCATTAAATTAGGAACAAAACTGTCCATAAGGAACAAAATACCAAACGAACCCGTCATGTAAAACAAGCGGAGTTGTAACTCGTATAATGTCATTGTCCACCGATTAAACGCAATCCATACAAAAGAAAAAACATGGTTCTGTCATATTTCTGAAAATTTATACTAAATCATATTTCTGAAAAAATATGATACTTCGAAGTATAGTTTATGCATTCATAACCGTGGTGGGAACGGATATTGCTAGTGTATCCGAAGAAAGTACCCAATCCAAGCAGTGACCGTTTACTGTATTTTTACCATAACACTGCCTTCCATTAATGATGAACGTTCTTGGTGTACTTGCTTGCTTCCTCGCGAAAAACTCGTACACACAAGAAATCGCACTGAATCGTAAATTTAGACATGAGACATACTAAAGAACAGTACAACAGCAACTAAGCAGCGTGGCTGCTCTGTGGTTTGCCGCATACCGAATAAAATTGTCAAAATCCTTATCGATCGACATTACCATCCAGCCGGTCCAAGAATTAGAAATGATGAACGTTGCTTGTGTTCCGAAGTCGCGAGTGTTTGAGTAGTGCTGACAGGTAAATCTACATACATGCATTGTTCTACCTGCGCGGTATTTATTTTAGCCAGCATTGGTATCTGGCCATTGTGTGCAGTCCCAACCCGTTAATGGAGGCTGAAACGAAAAGCGGCTCCAAGCAGAAACAGTGCCTGGTAATTATGGATTCCCTTGTTTCATCCGGTGCGGGAACGCGCGGTGCGGCGGTTTCGCCACGGGCGCAGGTATCGGTTTGGCCGCGGGTGCTGGAAATGGTTTAGCTACAGGTGCGGCTATCGGTCTGTCTACGGGTGCGCTTGGTGGCTTGACGGTGATGGGACTAGGAGTAGGGTCACTAGGAAGTTGCTGATGCATGCATGGCCCTAACCGGCACACGACATAGAACGACATCCCCTTCCGGGTTAACACCGGCGCAGTCCCGTTCGAGCCGCTCTGCGTGATATCGGTGGCATTGCCTGGCGGTGCAGCATCGAGAGCAGCTGGTATCATGTTAGCATCATCCGACGGAAAGGTCATGGAAGAAGACGCCGATTGGTCGCCGTTAACCAAAACGCTGCTGAAGCGCATCAACAGCCACAGGACGATGATGGAAGACATTTTTATAATGATACAGACAGTACTGAGCAGGAATCAATGTTGGCTGAACTTTTAACTGCTGAAGAAATTGCCAAAATCGCTTCGAATGAAACTGCACTGAATTTTTGGGTGTGCACACTACCGATAATTTTCGACATACAGAGGCATTGTTATATATATGCTAGAGGCATTGTAGAGGCATTGTTATACACTGTATATGCTAACCATCTCTTTTAAACAGTAACTAACAATAAATCGTGTTTGATTAATCTTAACTAAAGGCATTTCCAAGCCCTCAGAGTACTGCGAATTGCTTCTACTCTGTCGCGACTCGCCGCTGATGAATCGTATAACACGGCCGCCAAAGGCAAATTTGGTACAAATCCGTACAAGCACTACTTGAGTAGTCACGTGACTGTTCTTATGCTGCCGGTCATATATTCTGTCACAATCATCACGGAAAATTGTCACCTCGTGGGAAGAATCGAAGATTGTGGAGAATCTAGCGGTGACCCATTGATGATTTATGGGATAAATTAGTGTACTTAATAATGCTGATGTAATGATGCATCTGTTATTTATACTCGTACCCGTGGAACCTTACGAACTTCTAGTGGCATGACTCCGTTTGAGCCATTAACCAAAGCGTCGATAAAACAATAAAACAGGATAAAATTTAGCTGTCACAGTTATTAAAATGGAGCAATCAAGCAATACGCATGTAATACTTAGCAATAGAACATTGTTATTATAGTAAGTTCGTGTGGTGTACGCAGTGTAGGGTGCTACGATTACTGCAACAAATGATGTAAGATTAATTTTAAGTAAAAATGGAACGTGCATTTTTGTAATTACTAATAATGCGTTTTTATAATTATTGTTGACCGGCTGCATGTTTTCTGTTATCTGTTATGCTTATTGCGAAGAAAATGCCGTACATAAATTCCTGCGGTTAACAGCTAATTTCGATTTGATAATTTACTACATAAACACAATTATTTCAGCATTAGTCGTCGCTATTCGATTTTAAATTGATTATGTTAATTTTCGGTTATTCATCATACGTAAAGGAAATTTTATGCTGTGCATAGGCAATCTACAAGGCTTACCAGTTAGTAGTGGACATGTATACTTGTATGTCTATTTAATTCCAAACCACGATAACGATATCAAGGATAGCTATTGTCATGTACAGTAATGCGATGATCGTCATCCACATAGCAGGAGACTATTTGACTTTCCGCTTTAAACTTCCGCCGGCTTTCAGCTTGCCTACTGATATCAATTCATTTTTCTAACTGGCATACAGTTCAAAGTACACATGCCGAGTACACACACACACACATCTCACAGCAATCTCCCTCATGCAAACATATAAAAACACTCTGAAGAGTAAAGAGCCCAGAGAGAGTGAGTGACTGGCGAAACCGAAGCCCCATACAGTGCGGCCATTACACGACGTACAACGTCAAATCTGTCACTCATCGGCCATGCGCCACACTGACACAAACCGTCTTCCGCTGTATCAGATGTTGCATCTTTCAAGTGCGCAGCGCTCAAGACGGTGTATTTTGGTTCCTCAAATCTATTTACTTTTCTCTATCGCTTGTCCGGAAAATTATTCACTCATCCTCATTTGCAACATTTTGAACGGTTTTCGGCCACAATAATAATAGTTCTTAATGGATTCTTAAAAAGGTGGAATTTTTTTACCTTCGTGTAATTCCGTTTAGAACCGGCAATAACGTTTCTCGCATTTTTGTTAGGCGTTTTCTATATAATTATGGAGCCGCGTATAACTGCCGTGGAATTACCAACCGACAACGAAGAAGAAGCGCATCCCGTGCTGTGTGATATCCCCATTGGCAGCCCGCCAATCAGCATCCAGGATCCCTTACAACGCCTGGAGTCTATCAGAGCGACGAGCCAATCAACGATCACCGCGTTAAAGACACTCCGCGACCGCATCCAGACCTCCCGGGATGTATTAGCCGCCAAACGGGATTTACAACAGAATGCCATGGAGGTGCGGATTAAAGGATTGGAGCGGGAGTTAGGATGCGTGGATATTCGGGGGATGTTCTCGCAGACGGAAATCGACGATCTGGTGGTGTATGTCAATAATAATCCCTATCTAAAGTCCCTGCTAGAGAAACGGAATGCGCGGTTACTACAGCGACTGCTGGAGTGTGGGTCGACCGCCGGGATGACGAGCGAGGCGAGCTGTGATGAAACGGGAAAAGATGCCTTGGAGAGATGACCGGAAATTGATCTTTTTAGCGTTGTGTATCGATGTATCAAGATTTTTATTAACGTTTCTGGCTGTTTTTAGTCATGCATACAGTCAGCGAAGGCCTGTGCTGCAGTCCCACCTGGGCGGTTATTCGTGCGATATAAAGAAGTTCTTCTTTCCTTTTTTATTGCCAGTGCCAAAATTGTAGTGCCTTTCGGTGATTCATTGTAGTACAGACTACGTCGGTACAACGTACCGTTGTATTACGAGTTTCTTGACTCAGTTTTATAATTTAATACGCCGTATTCTGTATTTACTGTAGTGACTGTTTTTACACCAACGAAATAAAATGAAAAGTATGGTTGTTTTACTTCTGCTACTCTGTAGTTTTCTTGTCTTAGACGCCCAGCGCTCTAATGTTTTGGAAATCTAATATAAGGATGCCCAGTCCAAACCGGAAGCCGGCATTTGGTTAAATGCGCTTCCTTCGGCACATATCGGAAACCTACTCGATGACGACACTTTAAAGATTTTAGTCGGGCTTAGGCTGGGCTCAGTAATCTGTGAAGCACACTCTTGTGCAAAATGCCGCAAACCAGTGGACGTGTATGGCCACCACGGATTGTCATGCTCCTTCTCCGCCGGTAGACACCCTCGCCATGGCGGGCTGAACAGTATTGTGTGCCGATCATTAGTATCGGCGGGTATCCCGGCAAAGCGTGAACCCCGCGGCACATCCCACACGTCCGAGCGACGTCCGGACGGATGCACGACGTTTGCCTGGAAGCGTGGCATGTGCTTAGCTTGGGACGTCACCTGCGTCGACACCGTCGCTTTGTCGCAAATCAAGTCAAATTCAACAGCGGCGGGATCCGCCGCTGCCCAGGCCGAAGACAGGAAGACCAGACAATAGTTACACTCAATCTTCAACTCCCTGCAGGGAGATGCAACTCCGTGGAGCTGATTGGCCCCGCCTTGCGCCGTTATTGGTCGCTGTGCTCTTCGGAATTGCAACTACGGTCTACGGCGTAGACCAGCTAAATAGCTGGTAAAGCTTCGCCGTGGACGTACCCCGACAGGCCCGACCAAACTAACCTGAAGTTTGAAGTCAATTTTCAACTTTGATGCCATGGACAGGCAAAAATTTATTTTCATGCATTTCCGTAAACAGAAGCACATCATAACTATTCAAGAAATTTTAACTTTCCAAAAGTAAATTTTTGATTCTTTCATACTATCGCGCACATAAGCATACTATGTAAGATGATGTGACGCGTAATTTTGTTTCTATCCTATGTTCACTTCAAATGAGTACATGTAAAACTATGTAAGTAGTAAAGTTTTAGAATATATATAATAATATTTTGTCAGTACAATAAAGTTTTTTTGATTCTCCGTTAACTACCCCGTAAAAGGGACAACTCCGGACGCGCAAAACACTGGAAATCACCCTCAATCTTCGTTGTTAACTTGAACTGGGAGACGTATTCTTATTCGCTGCTTGAAACACTCCCCCTCTCCTCGGGGTTGCCAGCCCGTGCAGGAAGTTGAAGATTGAGTGAGACTAATATGCGTACCTCGTCGGCAGATACATTTCGCGGCGTTAGCTTTTGAAACATTCGGGCCCTGGGGAAAATCGGCATCCGCTTTAGTGAAGGAAATCGGAAAGCGATTGCAGCAGCACACGGGTGAACCTCGATCACACGAATTCTTACGTCAGCGTCTATCGATCGAAATCCAGCGGGGCAGCGCGGCGTTCGTCCTTGGAACCATTGATTTAACGGATAATTTGAGAGAAATTTTTCTGTTATAATAAATCATTTTTTTGTTAACAAAATTTGCAGTGTGACTGGCTTGCGCTAATAAAGAGATATAAGGATCCAAGGCCATCTCACGATCGATACAACAGTTTTGTTTTATCTTGAATAGAAATATGAACTCTGCTACGATGAAAGTTTTCAAAATTGTCAGTTAATGGCACAGAAAGGCGTATTTTAATAATGTGTATAAAATAATAAAGCGGACTTTATATGTGCTGGCACAAATCAATTATAATGTGATGAATCTAATGACCCATACCAAAATTTATTGTCGCTATTAAGTTATTCAAGTTTTTATCAGACATTGTAAACGCACTGCATTAGTTCATTACATATATCTGAACAAAACAAATTGCCGACAAAATAAAAATCTGTATCTATTACAGGTAGAAGAATCACAGAATGCATAACATTAAAAGAAAGACCTAAGTTCGTTGCTTAAAAATTGGGAGCAAGCAGGAGGCTACGAATACAAACTAAATGGACGATGTCCATCCTAATGTAGACTGTAGAGTGCAGGATTTCGATCACAGCTCAACCAGTTGTCGGCAATATGGACACGCTCGGGAATAACCAGTCAACAGTTCAGTCATGCAGTCATCGTGGCCAACTGAAAAACAGTATCTGTAAGTACAATATTACTGCAATACAATACAGCGATAATATTATATGGTTAGAACTGAGCACTCAGCAGTTCGGCTGCTTTATGTATGTATACTCGTACTCCAAGCCAAAGAACATAAAACATCCACAAACCTGCTAGTTAAGGTCAGTTACAATTAAATTTAATTATGCAGGTTACCGTTAATTGCAGACTGTACATACTCAGGGAACTGCAACGGAAATAGTACCCTTATGCTGGTGTCCATGAAAATGGATTTACGCGCGCAACATGCATCCGGTCCGGGAAACCGGATGCTGGGCGCACATCCCGCATGGTATATGAAATGAATATTCTTAATCATCTTAGATTCATCTATCTGTAGCTGCAAAATGCAAGAACGGGTACTCTAAAGCTGCTGTTTAATATTGTGGCAAATTAATAAAACAAGCTTACAGTGTACATGGAAATATGGAATGTACAAGCTTTACCAGGTCGGAAGTAACAGATAGGCTAATTCACTAGTACTATGCTGCATTAATTGCTAACGACCTCTCTACGCCCTTTAACAACGTAAACAGATTCTATTAGGTACCGTATGTAAGGTACATTAATATTTATTAGTACTCGTTAGCAATATTATTTTGCCGATTATATATGGATTAATGAACACTGCATCGGTTCCTTTTGATTACATGATAAAAACATTTACCGTGACCACAGGGCAAAGCAATTATCCGTCGCTTTTTGGCATAATTCTCCTGACAAATTGCGCACTGTTCCCCCTCGGGCGGCGCCACGTTTGTGGTCTGCCGCAGCTGCGCCACCTCTTGTACCGTCAGCGGCGCACCGCGGGCTTCCGCGTTCAGCTGTCTAATTAAATCATCAAAGAACCGCTCCAGATTGGCCCGGGCATGTGCAGCCCGTCGTGCATCATCAGACATTTTTTTAAACAACGCGACCACCATCACTCCCAGCACCGTGAACAGCCCCGCACCTCCAGCCACAGCGACACGGTAGTCCTTCAGCACCCACTCTGCGGCGATTACTGCGGCATCGGGTTCGGGTAGCTTTTTGGTGCGCGGCGGTTTCACTGGTTTGCTTTGGCTGTGTCTTTTCCGGCCAGCGATCGTGGAGTTCGTGTATCGTAGAATATATCTGCATGATAGACAACTCGCATATTTAACTGGTCGTGAAAAATTATAATGGTTGTAGACTTCTAGTAACAAAATATTTACCATGTAAATATTAAATTTTAATACAGATAGTACCCTGTAGTCTGTACTATCTGATCGTAAACATTTCAGTTACACCGTCACTTACAAGCAACAACAAGAGCGTTAAGCATAATAATTTCAAAGGGAGCGAGTACGTAACTAATGATCATAATAACTTTTGACACTGGTGCTATGAAATAGCAGTCAGATGCTGATTATTATCTTGCCATTAAAATACATTTCGGCATTGCAGAATTCTATCTTAAATTCATCCTATCCTGCAGTTGCGAATTTTTCAGTTACATATACTTCCATATAGTATGGATAAGGTATAAAGTATGGATAAGGTATAAAAGCGGTGCTAAACAGATTATATGTCACTACCAGCATTAATGGCATTAGTATCAGCTGAACAAAATTTAATGTAAAATTTAAAATTAATACTGGACACTATGCCTTACTTATCACTACTACCAGCGACGAATGCAAATCTTTTGAGCTGAGTTCCGTCATGGTGGTAAACCAAGTCGACATTAATCTTGATGCTGTCAGCGACATTTGCCGGTATGTCAAACGATGGCAATCGGTCACCCTCTTCCTTTAACTGCGAAGAGTAGGCGATGACACCGTCGTAGCCTTTGTTGTAGGCATGCACCAGCTTGATGTGTTTGGGATCGTCACCACAATCGGCATCATCCACCAGAAGGACAAATTTAGCAGCAATCCGGCCTTCGTAGTGCTCCGGAGCACGTCGAATATCGGGGGTGCACGCATGACTGGGTTCGGCAGCCCGTAGGTAAATCTGATAACAAGACAAGATAGTAAAAGAAAATACACAATTTCCGCCAAAATAATCCCTGAAAAGCTTTGCAACGAATTAAAGTAATGCTTTGCACAAACCGCCGTGTTCACCATGACCACTGAAAGAAAAAATAAATCTGGATCGTTATACAGTAACTTCAAAGTAAGAAGGCCTTACCAGATCGGTGGCGGAATATTCCCGCCCGGTGAAGGATCGGTTAGAAAATACGCTGTAGGACGTTTGATCAGAAATCCGGCCATTCTCGCGGCGATATACCGAGATTTTAGCAGTAGCTGAACACAGCAAGCAGCATAAAATTAGCCCATGGACTATACAAACAATGGGGCATGCAATTCTCCACGAGGACGCCATTTTTCCAACATTGCAGCGGTGAAAACTGGATCCAAACAAATAGGAGAAGTGAACGGAGTGCAGAACGTGATGGTGCGCTTTTATGACAAATCGGTATGATTCATAAGGAATGATAAAACACTTAGCGTTTCTTTTTACAAATTCTTGTACTTCTGGCTGTGCCATACCACCACTAATACTAGCGGTGGTTGTGAACCACATCATTGCACCGAGTGCGGATCCAATACCACTGGAGAATAATGATAAAGCTGTGGAATTCGAAACGTTGTACACTACGCACATCGAGGCGTCAGACAAATTTTCTGCTCTGACGAAGACAATTAACTGGAGCATGTCGCTGCGCTCGATGCAAATAACCACGGTTTATAAATGTGGAATGTAGATATACACGGTTTTATATTGCGTGCAAAAACAGTTGTTCTCGTTGTTGCAGTCGAATTAAATATGGGCAGACCGGCGAAGTTCTTATCAGCGGCGATGCTATGTGCACACCAGCAGCTATAAAGATCTGGAAGCCGGCATGTATGTAGTATGCTGTGCACCCGTTACACCGACATTTTGTACGCTGCACATCGAATGTAAACACTATACTTATACGGTAATTAAAATACGGCAGCTGGCTGAACTTATTACGGTAGTATCAGGACGATTATCAGTGCATACGCTACATACCAGACTTGGCCCATTTTCGATTTTCCCACTTTCATCCCACCCCCACCTTCACAGTTTAATTCCCAGCCCAGCCCACCCCCGGCTACTCAAATTTTCAGCCCCTCTCACCTTTTCGATCTCATCTTCATCTCCATTTTTTACAGGCTCAACGCCGCTAATTTTGCAAGTTTTCCGCAAACGACAGAGTTGCCGAGCGAAAAAAAAGTCGGTTCTTAAGAAAATATGCTCACTTATTGATAAAATCCGCGCGGAGCGCGGAAAATTTTTTGTTTTTGGAGCTCGAATGGTGCATTTTTACATGCTCTTAACGTAGAAAACAGATGAAAATGTCAAAGTTTTTTATTTTTATTTGTTTTCTTGGTCCCATCCCATCTTTCAACGATCCCAGCCCATCTCACCTCATCTGCGGCGCTTTCCCACCTCATCCTCATTTTCACCTAAAAGGTGAGATGGGCTGGGAAAAATGGGGAAAATTTTCACCTCACCCAAAAGATGGGCCAAGTCTGCTACATACTATATTATTTTAACTGTGTGTGGGCAGTATTTTTATTCAGCCTACAAATATTCCGTCTAGTCTATCTGTAGAGAAAAGCTTTTTGCGGTAGTGATACAGTATTAAGTACCGCGACGACGTACTGAAAGAACAACAATAATCCTTGACTCAGTTTGAATATAATTTAATTTTTACCTAATTTTGGTCCAGAAATTCAATTGTACAGCTCACGCTATGACAGTATTGTGTTTGCTTGCATAGCTACAACAACTGAAGTAGTCATATGCACAATCTGCGTTTAGGTATTTAACTTATTTCTATCCTAGTCGGCTTTTGCTGTTTTCTTACATGTCTGCGCACCTGCTACTTGGGAAAAGCAAACAAGAAATCAACGGACTTTGTAAAAACCCATATCACCATTTATCGAGATAGTTACAATACAAACTGAAATATAATCAAACAAATACAATAATATGATCTGCTCGAAACAGGAACTGTAACTGGGTTATTCACCTTAACATAGGTTAAATCTGCTCGTAATTCTTAGTATTGCCCGGCTATAGTGCACATACAAGAATAACAGAATTTAGAGTATAAAATAATGGCCAGAGTGTGCTGTTTAGAAGCAAACTTGAAAGAACACGAAAATTATGACCACAATATTGGAGACGAAAATCATTAGATGTAACGGGATTGGCTAGGATTCCAATCACAATCCAAGCGTTATGAGGCATGGCTACCGATCACTTCGGCCGTCATTCATTTCGGCCGCAATTCACTTCGGCCACAGTACATTTCGGCGGAAATTTGGTTGCCAAAACCTTATGCAGAATCTATGTACAACATGTAATTAGCTAAGTTCTCGTAATAAGCAAAATTTTGATCTGTTTCTTTTCATTTCATTTGGCACGCATAATCTGTTTGAGCAGTTTTCGAAAAGATACTATCACCATGGCCCCTTAAGGTATAGTCCCACTGGTGACTTATTAAGCGCTTTAAAATACGGCGGAAAACCGAAACTGCAGCGTGCCAGCAGGCCCAATGCACTTATCGCCGAGCGTAACATGCATGTCAACGGAAAATATCATAGCTGCAACTAAACAGTGTGCCAGGTTCCCTGTGTACAGCTGTGTTCCTCGTCTACAGTGTCGATACGTTCCGCTTAACGCATCGAAAATCGTAGGCGGGGGATGTTTCAAGTAGTTTGAGAATGGTAAACCCCGCTCGATGGTCATCTGCGGTACGTTGGAGCACACGGTCGGGTCATCATACGTTGGAGCACACGGTTGGGTCATCATACGTACGCACGGTCGAGTCATCATATTACCCGCTGGGCCAAGTCGGGCTTTGCCGCTGCCTTCGATATTCGTTCCAGTTGTGTAACAAATTTGCTGTACTTGCTGTGCTATCACCACCATGAGTCCCTTTTAATGACGCGAAAGTTTACCGTCACCGGAGAGTACTGAAAACCTAACCGTACGACTTCCAGTTTTGTTTCGGAATCTCTCTTTTCCACGGATAACGTTACTGCTCGCCATTGGCGTACTGTTTGTCAGTTTGTGTTTGACCTAGGAAAACATTAGAAATGAAAAGAAAACTTCATATCTTAAACCACCTAAGGATAACCTAAGGAACCCTAAGAAACCTAAGAAATCTAAGAAACCTAAGAAACCCAAGAAAACCTGTGATGGCCGAAACGTCCAGTTGCCGAAATGAGCGTTGGCCGAACTGAGTGTTGGCCGAAATGAGCCACGGCCGAAATGAACGTTGGCCGAAGTGAACCTGTGCGGCCGAAATGTAGCGCGGCCGAAGTGATCGGACGCGGTTTTGGCCGAAGTGATCGGACGCGGTTTTTGATTCCCGTCTCTTATCAGATTTATCTGCGGGTTGCCCAACCCATTGACGCGTGTACGCCCACCTTTCGACGTCCGCCGGAAGGTTATGAAGCGCGGACTAAATGGGTTTTGTTGGTGGATGACACAGACTGTGGCGAGGATCCAAAACATATTAAACTGCTGCATGCACTCAGCAAAAGTTACGATGGCGTTATCATTTACTTTGCGCAGCCTAAAAGAGAACCAAATAAATTGCCCTCAATAGACATCCCGGCAAGCATCACTGATAAACTGAAAATCAATGTGACTTGGTGGATTACGATGCCGGAATTCACTTGAAAAGATTTCAATTTGTCCTGCGTTCACGTGAAAAGTCGCGTGGCCGTGAAAAGTAAGGTACCGTTTTGCGGTTGTATCTACGACAGCAATTACATTAAAGCTTTTTAAAAAATTTCAGTTCAATATTTACTGAAGTTAACTCACTTCCACTCTTCTCTGAAGTTAACTCACTGAAAAGTAAGGTACCGTTTTGCGGTTGTATCTACGACAGCAATTACATTAAAGCTTTTTACAAAATTTCAGTTCAATATTTACTGAAGTTAACTCACTTCCACTCTTAGGCGCGATTCAAGTATTACGTACCGCGATTTTTCGTGATTTTGGACCACCCCCCACCCCTTGTAACACCGCATAACAAAACTTTCGACCCCCTAACTGCATACGTAACAGAGAGCCCGACCACCCACCTATTAAATTCCAATTAAAATATATTAAATTTTTTCGTTTTTTTATGGGGTGTCGGCCCGCACGTAACAAAAATTTTTAGGCCCCCTACCCCATGTAACACTCCGTAACAAAAACCCATGACCACCCCCCACCCCTTAGCGTTACGTAATACTTGAATCGCGCCTTACTAAATTTTAAATGTAGATAAACTAAGATTTCAAACTGACAGAAAATAAGTGTAATTTGCTATTATTGAGAGAAACATCCAGAGCCGGCATCAAAATGGTGAGCATCACGCGTCCGATCACTTCGGCCGCGTTACATTTCGGCCGTACATGATCACTTCGGCCAACCTTCATTTCGGCCACCACTCATTCCGGCAGCAGTACATTTCGGCCAATTCAATTTTCGTACATTTTTGTACGAGGAGGAGCTACCTTGGCCCGATCAAAGGCGCACACACGACCATAATCCGATCACTGTGCCCGCGTGTGTGCACCATGCCCAACCACCCTAGCTGGCAACGACGTTAACCACTTGCACGCGCATACAACATGGCTGTCATCCTAACGCGGCAGCCCAATTATTAATAAATTACGGCCACCCGTCGTTACGACCTTTCACTGTTTTCGAATGTTAATTTGTTTTGCAAGATCGAAATTTTGTAATTATGGACGAAAATGATTTTGTCATTTTACCTGAAGATAACTATCCGTCTTCCGTTTTGTCCGACATGGAGAATCTCGGTGAAGACCTTCACTTACCTGCCAGTCTGTTTTCTGTCAGTGCGAGTAACAGAAATAGTTCGGGCCTGCCATCAGATGTGGAGAAATTAGCAGAACCCGTCCCTGTACCAGCAAGCTATGGTAAAGGCATGTCAGCAGCTCTTCGAGCCGTGGAATCCGGAAACCTGTCTCTGCGTTCAGCAGCAAGAACGTATCACGTTCCATATGCTACGCTCTGGGAGAAGTTAAACGGCGTGCGAAGAGGAAAAAAGGGAGCTCATAAACGGAAATTTACTGATGAAGAAGAAAACTATATTGAGAAGCTGCTGTTGAAATGTGCTGAAAACGGCATACCACTGGACAAGAGCGCACTGCGACGACGACGAAGCACATGCCCCTAAGCAAAGGAAACTAAAAGAATCGCGCTTGCGCGCGGATGCAGGGCTCATTGCGACGGACAGTCAGGTTATTGAGGCCCTCGAAAAGCGAGAAGAAGCAAAACTGCAGGCCAAGAGTAAGCGCAGCAAGAAGACCAAGAGCGGCCACAGTGATATTACGAACACGCCAACCAAGAAAACGTTTAGAATGGATAAAAAGTGAACATTATTTTGGCGCAGATTTATTGCTTTGAACGGTTGTGCTCGTGCAGGATTTCAGGAAATAATTATGCACTTTCGTTTAGTTTAGCACCAGTGGTCTCAAGCAGACTTTTGTGCGTTAAAAATGGCGGCCATAGCGATGTTATAAAGTTGTTGCCGATGTGGGTGGCTGGCCATATTGCGTATGTGCAGGCACAGTGATTAAATTTACTGCCAACCTGGGTGTTTGGACGCGGTGCACACACGCGGGCACAGTGATCGGATTAAGGTCGTGTGTGCGCCTTTGATCGGGCCAAGGTAGCTCCTCCTCGTAGCTTTTGTTAGGTTTTGTTAGGTTTCTTAGGTTTCTTAAGCTTCATAGGCTTCTTGGGTTTTCTTAGGTTTCTTAGGTTTCTTAGATTTCTTTGGCTTCTTAGGTTTCTTAGGTTTCTTTGGTTTCTTAGGCTTCTTAGCAGGAGCGTAATGTGGGGGGTGTCAACCGGCAATTTTTTGAAATTGACACCACCCTTTCTCCAAAAGTTTTTGCGCAAAATTTTTTAGCTTTTGGCCGAAAAATTGCGCCGTGTCAACATTTTTGGGCTTACGGAAAAATTTTGCGCTGGTCAGTTTGTAATTTTACCAAAATATGGAACGAAGGGCTAACGTAGTCAGTGACGAAAAAGCTGCGAACAATGGTAAAAAACAGTGAACTAACACCACACTATTCGCGCTGGAGCGTTAAATCGGCGTATGTTCACGTCAGGTGGCGGTTGCCAATTCATTCGAGTGTACAAAAATACCGTATCCAATCTTTAATTACTGCGGCTGTGGTTTAAAATTTTTTGAAAATTGCTCCTCTGTCAAAATTTTTTGGTTCAAAGAACCTAGTTTGCGCGAAGCAAAAATTTTGGCACTTTTTGGGAAAATTGGCCCCCTGTCAAAGTTTGACACCCCCTCCTTGCCAACGATATTACGCCCCTGCTTATTAGGTTTCTTAAGTTTTATAGGCTTCTTAGGTTTTTTAGACTTCTTAGATTCATTAGGTTGCTTTGGTTTCTCTGGTTTCATAGGTTTCCTTGGTTTTTTTTGGATCCTTTAAGCTTTCCCAGGCATTCTTGTATTTTATGGTTTCTTTGTATTCTTGGTTTTAAGGGTTTCCTAGCTTTCTTAGCCTTCGCCCTTGTGACGGTAGGGTTCGTGTGGTCGTCCTTGGTTTCTTAACTTTTTTATATTGGTTCATATTTTTCGCTGTCTTGTGCTTATTCCTTTAGTTTTTCCTTGTATTTCCGATCATTCGCTAACCTCTAAGACGAATGATCAGTTGTGTTTCTTTTCGTTCATTTTTTGACTTTCCGCGATTGGATGTCCATTCATCATTTGGTACCAATTTTTTTATATAACGTTCTCTTGTTCGAATCAGACCAAAATGAGCATCGGCCGAAATGTAGTGTGGCCGAAGTGATCCGCGGCCGAAGTGAATGACGGCCGAAGTGAACGACGGCCGAAGTGAATGGTGGCCGAAAAACTTTGGCCGAAATGAACGCGGCCGAAATGAAAACGGTCGAAGTGATCGGTAGCCATCAAAAACTACTGCAATAGCAATATTGACAAGGTGAATCTGATGAAAATGATCCTATGAATTTCACACGCCCAAGAAAGCATCGTGGTATTTCCAAAGGTTTTGCCATAACATCGTACTGATCATGACGGAAACTGAATGAATCTGTTAACCAAGATCAGTAACTGAGATTATTTTGCGTTTCGTACCAGATCGTTCCGGGAAAATTCTTTTCCGAAGACAGATCGGTTTGAAAATATAGTATAGGAATTATAGTCGGAAATCTGATCATTTTCGCGACGATAAAGGCTGATTCTGGCATCCTTCACATGCATCCAGGAACAAAAAGCAGTTCTTTGAGCCAGCAAAAACCGAACGAATGCACTTCTCATCAAAGATACCATTTTTATGATTTTTTGTACATCTCACTGCTGCAACTGAATGTCCGGCGAATGTTTACGATCAATTGAATTACCCGATAGTACACGGTACGGGTAATAATTTTGTATTGCTGTGAAATTCAGATATTAGCTTACGGTTTGACAACTATAACATGTTCGCATGTTGCTTTTGAATGTTTGTTGCCTGTGTAAAATATTTGGTTTGTGTTGTTCATACAAAGTGCTCAGGCAAGGTGTATTGTATGCTTGTAAGTACATATCTGTATACCGTGATTGCTCGTTATTACACATTAATCAGCAATACAGATAGAAATTTGAGCAACTGTATCTCCGATGAAAGTTCACTAATTGGAGGTTTATTTCCGCGGCGCTGCCGTCAGACCGAAACGGATAACAACTACACTGCACTGAATAAGCAGCAGCCAGCTTCAAAGGAATTTACTTTTATTATTTAAATACCATGTCGATGATATCACCAGCAGGTAAAAACTTACTTAGTATGCCCAAGTACTGTAACGAATGCTACTCTAGGCCTTTGTTAATGCACGAAAACTACAACACTGGTACGGACGTATGTTGCGGTAGCGTGCGTACACGGCCAAAGGCAGAACTACGAGTACAGAATCTGATGTACAGCTTAGGACGAAAAGGTCGCATACCCAACATTTCCACATTCAGTACGAATGCAGCGCAGTGCACTGTACGACTGAGTTCAAAATATCCGTTTCGTACAAGTGCACTGCACCGCTTGTGTACGAGGAGGAGCTACCTTGGCCCGATCAAAGGCGCACACACGACCATAATCCGATCACTGTGCCCGCGTGTGTGCACCATGCCCAACCACCCTAGCTGGCAACGACGTTAACCACTTGCACGCGCATACAACATGGCTGTCATCCTAACGCGGCAGCCCAATTATTAATAAATTTTAGCGGCCGTGAATTGTTTAACAAATTACGGCCACCCGTCGTTACGACCTTTCACTGTTTTCGAATGTTAATTTGTTTTGCAAGATCGAAATTTTGTAATTATGGACGAAAATGATTTTGTCATTTTACCTGAAGATAACTATCCGTCTTCCGTTTTGTCCGACATGGAGAATCTCGGTGAAGACCTTCACTTACCTGCCAGTCTGTTTTCTGTCAGTGCGAGTAACAGAAATAGTTCGGGCCTGCCATCAGATGTGGAGAAATTAGCAGAACCCGTCCCTGTACCAGCAAGCTATGGTAAAGGCATGTCAGCAGCTCTTCGAGCCGTGGAATCCGGAAACCTGTCTCTGCGTTCAGCAGCAAGAACGTATCACGTTCCATATGCTACGCTCTGGGAGAAGTTAAACGGCGTGCGAAGAGGAAAAAGGAGCTCATAAACGGAAATTTACTGATGAAGAAGAAAACTATATTGAGAAGCTGCTGTTGAAATGTGCTGAAAACGGCATACCACTGGACAAGAGCGCACTGCGACGACGACGAAGCACATGCCCCTAAGCAAAGGAAACTAAAGAATCGCTTGCGCGCGGATGCAGGGCTCATTGCGACGGACAGTCAGGTTATTGAGGCCCTCGAAAAGCGAGAAGAAGCAAAACTGCAGGCCAAGAGTAAGCGCAGCAAGAAGACCAAGAGCGGCCACAGTGATATTACGAACACGCCAACCAAGAAAACGTTTAGAATGGATAAAAAGTGAACATTATTTTGGCGCAGATTTATTGCTTTGAACGGTTGTGCTCGTGCAGGATTTCAGGAAATAATTATGCACTTTCGTTTAGTTTAGCACCAGTGGTCTCAAGCAGACTTTTTGTGCGTTAAAAATGGCGGCCATAGCGATGTTATAAAGTTGTTGCCGATGTGGGTGGCTGGCCATATTGCGTATGTGCAGGCACAGTGATTAAATTTACTGCCAACCTGGGTGTTTGGACGCGGTGCACACACGCGGGCACAGTGATCGGATTAAGGTCGTGTGTGCGCCTTTGATCGGGCCAAGGTAGCTCCTCCTCGTACAAAATGCTGGGTATGAGGCTATGCGACCATTTAGTCTTAAGAAACCTAAGAAACCTAAGAAACCTAAGAAACCGAAGAAAACCTAAGAAACCTAAGAAAGCGCAGGAGATTTAGACTACCTGCGCCCGCAACATTTGTTGGACCTAATCGGCGCTAAAATGGATGACGCCGCGTCTGATTTGTGTGACGCCCTGACGGACCTGCTCAATCTCGTTTTTGCTGGCAAAGTACCCAAGGATGTTATTCCCTTGCTCTGTGGCGCTCGACTCATTGCCCTACGCAAAAAGGACGGAGGTCTGCGTCCAATTGCCGTTGGAAATGTATACCGTCGCATTGCTGCCAAGGCGGTGGATATCCGAATTAGGACAGTAACATCGGAGATTCTCCAACCGCACCAACTTGGCTCAGGAGTGAAGAGAGGAGTTGAAGGAATTATCCACGGAACCAGAGACTTTCTCCTTCAATACAGCGGTGACGTTAAGGCTCTTCTCAAAATTGATTTCACCAACGCTTTCAACTGCGTGTCGCGCAAAGAAGTATTGCGGATAATAGCCGACATCATTCCGGAATACTATGCCTTTATAAAAATGTGTTACGGTGCACATTCCTCAGTATTCCTAGGAGATGCAGTCATTTCCTCTCAGTCTGGCGTGCAACAAGGGGATCCTCTCGGACCAGTTTTGTTTTGCTTGGTACTGCAGTTTATTGTCAACAAACTGAACACCTACCTGAACGCGTGGTATACGGATGCTGGTACGCTAGGAGGATCGCCATCGGACGTGATTCGTAATTTCCTGCTGCTGATAGAGAAAGCCAAAACTATTGGACTAGAAGTAAACATTGCGAAGTGCGAAGTTTTCTTGTGCGGTGGCACGGAAGCACAGCGTACATCGGCCGCTTACGACTTCACCAATTTGTTCCCTGGGATAGCCATTGTATCAGCTGATAAACTGAACTTGCTCGGCTCTTCTCTTCTACCAGCCGCCGTAATCCCGATGATCAATGATAAAATCAGCCAGCTCGGTGTTATGTGCGGCCGCTTGCAGCTAATTCCTAAACACCAAGCGCTATTCCTGTTGAAGAATTGCCTAGGAGTGCCGAAAATTGTTCACATATTGCGCACCTCCCTCGCATGGATGTTTCCACAAGAGCTATACAGACTCGACCAGGTATTTCGCGAGGCGGTCGAAACAATTACCAATGTCAGGATGGACCACCCAACATGGCTCCAGGCCTGCCTTCCTGTTCGTTTCGGCGGTTTGGGAATCAGACGCACCGAGAAGCTAGCTTTCTCTGCCTACTTAGCATCGGCTTCTTCGTTGCACCAACTGATTTCCAGATTATGCCCGACACTGACAGCAACGGATGTCACCGTCGCCACGCGAGCCTGGAAGTTAGAGGCCGACACTGACGAACTTCCGCCGGAGGCTTTCCGACACGTCCAGAAAGCTTGGGACACCCCTACAACCCTGCAAACATTTTCGAGGCTAACCGCACTACGGACTTCACAGGAGGAAGTCGCGCATCTCAAGGCGGTATCAGTCCCGGAAGCAGGCGTGTGGATCCATGCATTATCGGCAGCTTGCCTTGGTAATCTGTTGGAAGACAACGCTTTTCGCATAAGTGTTGCGCTGCGTCTGGGAGCACCGATCGTTACTCCACATGTGTGCGTTTGTGGTGGGCTGGTCGACGAGCTAGGCCGGCACGGACTTCGCTGTAAGCGGTCCGCCGGAAGACTACCTCGACACGACGGAATCAGCGCAAAAATTACCCGGGGCCTGAAATCAGCTGGCTTCCCTTCGAGAATGGAACCAAAAGGTCTATCCGTGAAAGATAATAAGAGGCCGGATGTGATCACCCTTATTCCGTGGAACCGCGGAAAACCGTTGGCGGTGGATGTTACCTGTGTGGACACGCTGGCGGCCTCATATATCGACCGCACTTCCGTGACTGTCGGCGCGGCAGCTGAACTCGCGGAAAGGGAAAGCTAGCGAAGCATGCCTGGCTGCAACCAAGGTACGATTTCGTTGCTGCAGCCATCGAAATTTACGGACCTTATGGGGACGGAACTAAAAAGCTAGTGGAAATGGTTGGAAACGGTATAGCGACTTCCACTGGCCAGAAGCGGGCGAAAGAGTTTTTTAAGCAGCGAATATCTATGCAAATACAACGGGGAAACGCGATTTGTGTAATGGGTACGATCCCCGATCAAGATAGCATAGAGGAAGTGTTTCTGTTATAAATGCTGTTTCGTTTTGGTACATAGTTTGTACTCGTATCATGATACTTATTAAAGGTTAACGGTAGTCCTACATTGTATGTAGGTGTATTGGTTCAATGCAGATTTATGAAGAGTTACACATCTGCTGTGCTTCCGTGGGTTTGTCACTTTTCGATACGATTGAGTGGGCTATGCTTGTCCTTCGCGAGGCAGCCATGTGATCGGCATCGTCCATTATTTTTTTTGGTGCTGGCTACTGAGTATAGAAGTACTGACAATATAAGTATATAAGATTTAACGTGATAATGCCGCGTTTGCTTGTAACAAATGAGGGCCGCAAATCCTTAAGGCGTTGTGATCATTGGGACATTGTGTATGGCGAGTGTTTTACTACGTAACTTTTATCTTGTGCTTGCGAAACGGAACGACCGGCTAGTGAAATAGCTAGATGATTGCACCCTTGTTATAGGAACCGCCGCTGCTACCCCCTTTCGAGAATTTCTTACGTCAAGTAAAACACGAAACAGCGTGGGTGATTGTGAACTTTCGACTCTATGATGCACGGACACAATAAGTATCTCTATGGATTTTCACAAAATTCTTACTGCATTTATTGCGGCTATTAAACAACTAAGCCGTGAGTTGAGTGGTTTCTCGAATTTTTATTTTGTTAATGGCCCGACGACCAAAACACGCGCGTAATTATAATCGTTCTCCGATGTAAATTCAGGTTTCACTAACACTATCGTAATGGTGTTTCAGTAATGGTGGGTCATGACTGCGAGGACGACTTGAAAGCAGCATTATTTTATCGGGATAAGCTACCGTAAAGTGATCTACAGAAGCACGTCCTTCGAACATCGGTTCCACGCAAGCCTGAGCTGTCCGGAAGGTTTGTTGTTCTCGTACAACAAAATTATCAATAGAAGCACTGACATGTCTGATAAAACCACCCGCCACAACTTCCCCGACTGTACATTCCACTCGGTCCGCAACATTTTTTGCAACGGTTGTTGCACAACCCTCCACCTCTCAATCCTTTGCAGCTTCCTGCTGCTCCACAGCTATCATCGCCAGGTTTCTAAGGAATTTGGTCAAGTAGTGTGCGTGAAATAAAAAGCGCGACAAGCATACTAAGCAAAATCAATAAGCTTCAAATCGTAACTAACAGTGCCTTATACGTATACTTACTTAAAATTTTCAGTTTTTGTAAACAAACCGATACCAGTTTACTACTGAACTACTTGCTTGGCATTTCCCATAAACATACCCATTTGCAGGCCTTTTTGCCTGCAGCATCGGCAGCTGCATGCGATTTGACCACACCAACCGGGGTCTCTATAGTCAACGTGGACGGTTGTGTGGCTAGTGGTGCATGTTGGTGGTCCACCGACTCCACCCGCGACTTTTGATGCGGTTGATCCAGTCTGGTGCGAGCGGCTTGACGCTGTTGATTATGCGCCGTGTCCTGGACTGAGCGAGACCGCTCAGTGGCCTGGATCAGTAGAGCGCCCCAAAGAAAGGTCACCACGATCAAAGTCGACATTCGAATAAGCGACATGGTCGAGCTGTTGCTGTGGCAATTAATTGACTGATCGTGCAGTAAATCAACATCTCTATAACAGCTTTTCTGGGTGTTTATAAGACAACGTACGTACTGCTGCTTTGCCAAATTTTGCCGCAAGTGGAGTTATGGCTACTATTGCTACTCTAACTACTGTACTGACCAAATATTTTTTTGCCAAAGATCCGGGAAGAACGAACTGACATGCACAGGAATTACTTAACGCAGACAAGCGTTTAGCTAATGATTTGTTTTGACTTGGCCGTGATGTCAGACGCGTTATGCTTTTTTGCAGTTGTTTTTTAGCTGTCGCATTTGCTGCCGGCTGGTGATTGCACATGTTCTGAATATGCGTGAATTCTTACTTGGAACGTGATTTTATAATTTCGTTTTGTACATGAAATACAACCTTCACCAGAGTTCAAGCGTTTGTTCGTAACGTTTTTGAATGATATTGCTAATTGTATTTTAACAAAATTGCTGTATAACTGCATAATTACCCTTATTTGCAGCAGTGACATGGATATAGATTGAGAAAAGGTAAATTTACTGCTACTCACAAGATTCGTTGCATAACCTGACAAGAATCTTAAATACGATATATATCGCAAATCACCAGGATGCGTCGTAAATTTTCACCGATTAATGGAAGCTTACGAGTCTTTTCCCGCGTGAATATGGGGATTGGCGAATAATGGCGATAGAGCCAGATTTTTTCGCTAGATACAGTATGTTGCAATCCATTAAGCGAAAATAAAATACCGCTTAAATAAAAACAAATGGAGCACCTGCTTCGATTTTTATTCAAAGCATGAATGTAAACTAAAATATCAATTTAGAAAAATTAAAGTTATTCTATAGTTAAACTTTCAAAGTGCCGTATTTAAAACAAATTACGGATATCATGGTTAGTAAAGATCAGTTATTAAAAATCTCTACGTGTATTCTCTTTCTGGCTTTACTTCTGTCTTTTATTGCTAGCCTACAGCCATAGCCGTGCACTTCTCTAGTATTAATTTTTAGTAATGTTTTAAATCCGCCGTCAATAACTGGGAAATTAAGAAAAAGTAGAACTTTAGCCTGGTTGCAGCATAAATCAAGATAAGATGTCCTGCACAAGTTAAACAGTTTCATCCAAATGTTTTGCAGTAGAGCAGAAAAGAAAAACGTTTTGAGCACACGTTTGACACGAGTACTCTGTTTTCACGCTTCGCTAAAGCTCCTTGGGCCGACAGCAACAACGACCACGATTTAATCAACGAAGCGGATGTTGGGCGGGCGGGTTTTTTCACTCATCAAGATTTTCACGCCGATCGAATGTACAAAGATTGTCTCACCATAAGCCGGCAGCAAATACAGTATACCTTCTAAAAAAACAACTGCTAAAGAGCATGACGGAACTGAGATAACGAAGTCATAGTCATAACTGCTTAGAAGTTGAAAGTATGTTAAGTAATTCGTTTACTTGCCGGTTCGTTTATACCGGATTTTTGGCAAAAATCAACTTTCATCGATTTAAATGTCGTCGCTATAACTCCAGTCATAGCAAAATTTGGCAAAACAACGTTAAGCTATCTTATAAATACTCAGAAAAATCTTTTTGAGATATTGATTTGCGCTCAGTCGTTGGCGAACTAAGAGTAACAACATATCGGGAATGCCGTTTAATATTATGTCGACCTTGTGCACTGTGACCTTCTTTTGTGGTGTGGTAATGATTCAAGCCGTTGAACTGCCTCGCTCAGCACAGGACACGGGGCATGAGCAGCAGCGTCAAGCCATTCGCACAAACCCTAATCATCTACAGGAAAAGTTGCGGGTGGCGCAGCAACATGCATCGCTCCCCGCTCAAACGCCCATCTCGACGGTATCGAACCAGGCTGAAGTAGTGAAATGGCATGCTGATGCTGATGCTTCTGGCAAAAAATGCAAAGGGGTATGTAAAAGTTTGTAACATACATGTACCGATGTTTGGTCTTTAACTGCGAACGCTATCTTTTAAAGAGTGTGAAACAGCAGGTGTATTTTTACGGCTAACAATATCGATTTCATGATCTTTGCATGAAATCAAATTTGTGGTTTGCCTTTCACAAATATTGGATGACTGTTAGTTGTAGAAACCCAATGGTAACAGCTGTGGAGCACCAGGAAGTTGCAGAGGACCTGGAGGTGGGGTATTGTGCAATAATCGGTGCAAACAATGTTGCGGCCCGAATGGAATGTTCAAGCGGGGATTCTGCGGCGATGGGTTTTTGCAGCCATGCCCGTGTTCTTACTAAATTTCTTGCTGAAGGTGAATGGATCACCGAACACGAAGTAGCTTCGCGTTCCATAACTGTAGGCGTTGCCAGTGCATACAGCCATCCTGCGCGGTTGAGCAACCATACCAAAAGCTTGATTTCGCTTAGAATTCGAGACACACCTTAAGAAACAATGTACATTTGCAGCCGGCAGAAAAAGCTGGATGCTTTGAGTTTTGTCGCATACTGCACAAGCGAGCAGTTCCCCGTTCGCACGCAGTGCTAGCAAATTGAGAGTGTCTGGGCACTGGTAAAGTTAATGTTGCATACTCCTTGAATTTGTTATAGCAGTTTTAAACTCTTGACTAGCTGGCCGGTTTCCACTTTTTCAGTCCAAAATTGTTGCCGTATCTGTAATACGATTTTGTTGCCAAGTTCAATCGTGCATGTGGGCATACAGTGCGCACGATCGGCGGACATGCAGCACGGTTTATATGCAGCCAGTCTAAGTCACGTCCGATCAGTTCGCGTCTACGTTACGACCGTTACATTTCGGCTCAAGGTCATTTCGGCCAGCGCTTATTTTGGCTTAAACACCCATCTTTATTTTTCCCTACGTTTTTTTAAGATATTTGCCTTGAGCAGCAGCGCAGGTGCCTTGGACAGACGGTATGCGCTGTTGATCTGAATCATCTGGTTATCGTTGTATTTCGTTGTTTTACCATAATACCTTTTTTATGCAGTTGACTCTAAACAGTCTATAAATATGCTGCTTGTCTATCTATGCACTCAAGTTTAATGCTAAATTGCCTTAGCGGAAGCCGAATCCGATCCATTCCACTTCTACCAAGGTTGTGTAAAAATTCCATGTAAACCCAAAACTGAGTCAGGCATTGTCACAGAATCAGCCCTCAGTCGACTGTCCGTGGGGAAGGGAGGGCGGTTCCGTGAGGTATTCGCAAAAAATGGCGATGGGTCGAAATTGAACCGCTGGTTACCGAGTGAGATCCACGTAGCACAGCCATTGTGCCATCGCCACTGTTGGCGAAGATCAAGATATTTGTGCTTCAGCCTGAGGCAACCAGGTAGGCGGCGGTATGGGCGGCTGTCGTGTGCACATAGTCTTATACTCTAGCTGACAGCATGACTTTTGTTCTCGAAGTACGTAATAGCGGTATTTATATTATATCACCACATTAGCTGCTGAGATTTTTTCTGCATGCCATTGATGTCATTCAAAAAGAAGGAACAGTATGTGTATTTTGCCTCTACCAAACTACCAGTACAACTACTGAAGTAGTCATGTGCACAATATACACTCTGTACATTTGAATATCAACCCTGCCGACGTTTGATGCTTCAAGCAGGCCTGCACACCAGCTGTTTGGCAAAAGCAAATAGGAAATCAACGGACTTTGGCAACAACCTTTCCCACCATTTATCGGCACAGTTATAAGCTGAAACGTAATCAAATAAACACAATCAGCATTAATGACAAGAATCACAGAATGTAGAGTATTGATATCATCAGAAAGACAAGTGCAAGCTGCAGAAGGAAGCACCGCGAAGCAACGACCATAGGGAGGTCGGGGGTCAACTGGTGTAACAGGAGTTCAATCACAGTTCGACCGTTTGTCGGCCATATCGAGAATAACCAGTCAGCCATTCGGTCAAGAACACATCTTGAAGTACTACAACTGTCGGGCACTTCGAGGCCTGGCACGAAAAAATAGTACCTGCGACATTGAAATAAGTCTTTAATCGTTGTTTAATGGATCGTCGACAACGACCATGCTGAAATTCGCTTAAAATGAACACCCTTACATCTATGCCATCATCGTCGATTTCATCATCATGGTCATCGTCGTTGTCCTGGGTGCTTCCTGATTCGTCGGTTTCACTGTCCGAACTACTATCTTCGCTGCTGGTTCCATCGTTAACATTTACCGGTTGTTCAGCAGACGTTCGAGTTCGACATCTTCGGATCAGCAGTGCTCCCAATGCAGAAGACAATAGCACAACTGCAGCCACACAAACAGAGAAGTCGGCAAATGTCCACTTCGTGATGATCCGTGCGGCTTCCGGCTTTAATAGGCGTTTGGTGTGCGTTGATTTGCTTTGCCTGTGTGTCCTTGCCTTCCGGTCACTGGGCGTGGAGTTAGTAAATCGTAGAATGTATCTGCGCGTTTTACAACACTCATGTTTACACTGTCGTGGGAAATTGCAACGGCTAAATAAATAAATACATGTACTGTAATCTGATCGTCAACATATTTTGTAAATTGATGTGCAAAAACAAGACCGACGAAAATGATTTTATGTAAAATGTATCTTAAAACGTATCTGCATAACTCGTTCTCAGTTTCTGGCTTTTATAAACTGAGCAATGAACATGCAGTAAATGTCTTTTGGCAAACAATAATTTTTGTGGCAGTGTACGGTATATTTCTATGCTGAACTGAGTCTGTTCCAAGGCGCAAAATAATTTTTCTACAATCAGTTAAAAGCGGCATTCAACCGAAAGCCGGCTATCACTGATACCAAGAATGAGATATGATTTTTACAAATAATTGTTAAGGCGATGCAGACTCGTGTAAGAGATAAACAATATTATAACGACGTTAACATTAATTTAAAAAATGTATGATTAAATTACTAACTAAAATAAAGCTATTTAGATAAAAAATAAGTTATTGCGAAGCCTTACTTTTCAGCAGAACCAGAGACGAACGCAAATCTTTTGAGCTCAGTTCCATCATGTTGGCCCACCAAGTCGACATTGAGCTTGATCTTGTCAGCCTTGTTTGTCGGCATATCAAGCACTGGTAACTCATCACCATCATCATTGGGCTCCGCAGAATAGACGATTACACCGTCGTAGCCTTTGTTGTAAGCATGCAGTAGCTTGGTGTGGTTGGGATCGTCACCACAATCGGCATCATCCACCAGCAGAACAAATTTTGCAGCAATCCGGCCTTCGTAGTGTTCTGGAGCACGTCGAATATGCGGTGTGCACGCATGGATGGGGTCGGCGACCCGTAGGTAAATCTGATATGAAATTGGAATAGTCAAAAACAAATGCGCCCTTCTCACCAGAATGTCACGTCCGTGTTTTCCGTTCTCACCAGATTATTTGCTGGAGATTTGGAATATAAAAATCACAGAATTAACCCAGTAAGCAGGACATGTCACCGGATGAGTATCTCAGAGCTCAAATCATCTGTCGGCAGAGAGGACATTGTCGAGAGTAGCTGGTCAGCCAGGTTCGTAAGCAGCTGTCATGTCCAACTGTAAAGCACAGAACCCAATGCCCATGTTTAGACAAAATTAATTTCTACGTATAATCGCTTCGCAGCAGACCAGTGCGAGGAGGAAGTAAGATTCCATGCAGTTAATCAGCCTCACCGTGATGACAGGGTAGGGCAATGATACGCGGATTATCAGCGTAATCCTCTTGGCATACCGGACAGTTCTCGTCCGTGGGCGGCTGCACCGTCGTGGCCTGGCGCAAATTCTCGACCTCGTCAGCCGTCAGGGCGGTCCCGCGGGCTCTCTGGTCAGCCGCACGTTCGGCTTCGGCCAGCCCGGCCAGGAGATTATGAATGATAATAAGAGCCATTTCTTCCCTGAGTTGATCACGAGTGTTGTCAAGCCATTGGTCGGACCGCACCGGCGTAGTGGGCTGGCTCACCGTCTGAACACAAAAATTACGGTTTAAGTAAGTATTTCAGAAATCAAATATGTCCACTCAACATGAATTGTTGTGACTAACTCTTCGATTCTCCATCTAATAGACTGAAAATTTAAGTTGATTATAACAGACCGGTGTTACCATGCTTAACCAGACCAAGGTTTTCTGCTTGCAGGAAAGGCATAAAGTTTTTATACAAAGGGCAGTATCGTTATTCCTACATTTGAGTTAATCAACCACTCTGCTCTGGTTGGGTCCGCTCCGATGGCGGAGCGGGGAGTTGAAACTGCATTATTGGCATTTCCTTCCCGGCGCTCATCGGTTGGTTTGTCCAGGTACATTGCGATTAGTCTTGCCACAACAACAGACAGGACTATCAGGACAGCAACAGTGCTGTTGATATACGATAAGTCAGCTGATGAGAGGTCAACTACCCGGATCCCGGTAGTAGTAGGCCCGGTGTAGTAGACCCAGTTCGGCGCTGATGATGTTCGGCGCTGAGTATTGGATTTAGCTGGTTTTGCCCTGCTTTGAGAGCGCTTTGTCTCCGGCCCCACTGACGGAGGCATTCAGAATGTACCTATGGGATGAGAATATTATTTTGATATCCTGGCATCCTGACTAATGTACAGTTTATCATTAACATATAATTATGTTAGTGTGTCGGGTGCCACTGCGTAATCGAATGCCAAGCAGAATTAATTGCTTACTTAAAAATAAGTATGCAGATGTACTGCACTTGTACTAGCTGTATGCTTCAATGTTTTATAAAATATTTCGGTAGAGAGTTTATTTCAGTTTTCAAAATACATTAATTTCATCTTGGGAGTGTTGTAGTCAATCGGTAAAAAAAGGTAAAGGCTGTAAATTCTCTTACGGTACGAGTACTGGTACACATTATTTTGTGACGGCTGCCACTTCTGCCTGTTGTGTGTAAAAAATTAATAATAGCGCAAGTCTTTTTCAGTTGAAAAAATTTTTTATCAAGGTCAAGTTTTTAGTATGCCATTAACGACATCTGTTACGTACGTCAGATCACAACCGCAGCCTGTACCTTACTTTTCAGGTGAACGTAGGACAAATTCAAATCTTTTCAACTGAATTCCGGCAGAGTAATCCACCAAGTCGACACTGATTTTGAGACTTTCAGAGACACTTGCCGGAATGTTTACTGATGGTAATTTATTTTGTTCTGCCTTTGGTTGAGCAGAATAAATGATGACCCCATCGTAGCTTTTACTGGAGGCATGTAGCAGCTTAATATGCTTCGGATTCTCGCCACAGTCGGTATCATCCACAAGCAGAACCCATTTCGTCCGTGCTTCATATCCTTCGGGCGGGCGTCGAAAACTGGGCGTACACGCGTCAATGGGATGGGCAACCCGCAGATAAATCTGATAAGATACGGTAATTCAATACTAATAACAACGTAACAAGGAAATCTGATGCAATGATCCTATGGATTACTCATGCTTTTAAAACGCACCGCTACCTATCCAAAATTTTCACCGTGACATCGTACTAATCACAACGGTATACCTGAATTTATTAGTAAGCATCAGTCACAAAGGTTATTTTGCGCATCTTACCAGATCACCTGGGAAAAATTCTCTTCCGGTGACGGACCGTTTAGAAAACACGGTAAATGAACTGTAATCGGAAATCCTGTCATTCTTGCGACGATAAACGGCGACTTTGGCACCAACTACATGCATCCAGAAGCAAAAAATAAATCCATGAACCAGCAGAAACCATACATGTCCAGTTCGCGTCGGCGATGCCATTTTCAGTTACATCACAGTAGTGAAACTGAATGTCCGCCGAATGTAGATGATAAGCTGAGAATATCCCATAGAATACATTGCGGGTTAATGTGAAATTCAGATATGGGTTGGGTACGATAATAATTTTGTGTCGCTGTGAAATTCAGATATGGGCCGCATACGGTTGAAAAATTACATCGTGTTTGTGCAGTACTTCTGAATACTTGTTGTCTGTGTAAAATCTGAGTATTATTGAAGGTTGCTCTCATACTATGGTAAACTATTTGTTTGTGTTGTTGATACAAAGTGCACAGACAAGGCAGAGATAATTATGTGCGTGACAGTAGGTGTACGGGATTCTTCATTATCATTGCACATTAATCATCAACTATAGAAGTGTATGCAACTGTATCTCCTATCGAAGTCCACTAATCGGAGATTTGTATCTGCGGCGCTGCCAGTTAGTCTTGCGAAAGGAGTTGTCCGTTAATGCGCTTAAAACTTTAAACATTGCAGTACCATTCTAATACATTCAGCGGGATTAGGACGCTTGTGATTTTGGCAGCAGGGTTGCAGTCGCTGTTGCACAGTTCTTGTGGTAACTGGGAGATGGCTTATGGCGAGTGCTTTACTACGTTTTACAGTAGAACACGAAATCGTACGCCGGGATGTATGTAGGCGTTATTAAAAGCAGTTCCCGTACATTTCAGGAGTTCGCGACGTGGAGAAACTGTCACAATATAGAATTCTCCTATACCTGTGCAGGTAAGCGATGACCTTTGTGTGCCTACCGATGTGTACCTACAATAACCAGTTACGCGCACGTGTGATGATGACCTTTATTCAATAAACACTATGCCCACTATAACAATGCTATCCTAGGTAAGGCTGGTAGTCTCCTGGTAGACTACTGCCAGACTACTGACTGGTACGGTGAGGAGAGGAGTCCTTATATATGGTCCTGGTCAGGATGGGCTTGACTGACATGGATGGGGCTGGTGCGGCGACAAGCCAATGATGGAATGCCTGACGGCATTATGATGGAATATGCCGTCAACGTGAGGTCATAGGACCGGGCTGGAATTCGTGCGCTTAACTGCACGTCGGCTTACTTATCGTTATGCCTAACATCCTACTTCATGGATCCTGATATAAATTGTATGTAATTATGTTTATATATATAGTATAGTATATATATTATATATAGTATACTGATAAATAGTATTTATATATATAGTATACTGATATATATAGTATATATGTAGTATGTAATTATGTTTTAAGCATGCTCCAATTTCACGCTTCACATGCTCCGGTTTTCTCTAATTATCGACAGCTTCCAGCTTGCCAGGAAGATTTGTAGACAATAAAGCTGCAGGTTCAATTCAGACGCAGGAAATCCTGGTGACCAGGCATTACAGGAATTAACACACCATGGCCTAAATTCGTCGCCATACCTTCAGAAAGTAATAACACGGAACGAGCTGCAAAAGTGAGAACAAAAATATCGCGTGAATATTGTGTGTGAATATTTCATATGAAGTTAACACGATGCTTTGAGAGTAGAATGGCGTACTTTACTCTCTCTCTTTCGACTTCCGATGCTTTTGTTGTGTCGTTAAAGTTTGGGCATTTTCTAATCAAAATCTTGCCGAATTATGTAGCCAGATTTGTTAACGAAAATTATTTCACCGGAAGAATGGAATTTTGAAAAAATCTGCAAAGAGCTTCCCGCTTGCTAGAAAATTTGAAGTTACTTACTGCAGGCTGCTGCGCAGAACGTCAATTGCTGTTGTTTTTATCGGTAAGTGATCAATAAGCCACGATAAACGCGTAGAATATTATTAATCATCACGGTTTGTCATACAGCCGTTACAGCACGATGTGCTCGAATCCTAAATGTCATTCAACCTCAGTGTTATTTACGAAAAACGGAAGCAGTTGTCTGCTGTAGAAGTTCTGTCATTGAACTCTCTGACATTATCGGTTTCTGCCGGCTGCTGAAAATGCTATGATCAAGAAAACAGCGATTAACTGGTCAACAACGAGGAAAACCATTCGAGTGCATAAACATAAAACATTATTATAGCTGTGCCTCAGGGTCTTGGATGTTTTCTGGTAGACGAATCAGCAACTCGACGGTGTCTGGTTGGCCATTAATTAAGTGTCTGTACCAGCAAACTAACGGTTTCCGCCGCATAGAACCGATAAAATTGCCGGTGTATTTCCACGTGCACAATACACGTGGACAGTGTATTGCGGCTTGCCTCGATCATATAAGCCATTAGCGGCAGCCAGCTCTACCAAACCAAACAACCAAACCGCTGCCACTGGAAAAAACGAAAACCTGACCACCATTTGTACAGATAAACCTACTCGGTAGTACGCGGAGTTTTCCCCACTGTAAATTTAACCATGGTATTCAGGTTGATCGTGGCGGCGCTGTTTGCCGTAAGTGTCCACTCTCAGGCTTACGGCAGTTATGGGACTAACAGTGCCTCTTGCAATCCAGCCGACCGATCCTACCCGAACTTGTCAGGAGACGGTAAATAATTGCCAAATGGTCTAATTAAAAGTCGAAGAGTGTTGGCCTAAGGTTGATTATTAGGGAAACCCTTTCAGCATTAATTTGGTCTTGAATTGTAGATCTCTACCGGCAATACATAAAAGATCTCGGAGATGCGGAAAACATGTTTATGACAGCTGCCGCATCGGTGTTCGTTCCCGGCGCGCCCATTTCTAACAGCTCCGGATTTTTTACCGGAATTCTACAGCAAATCTATAGTGCTAATCTAAAGCTGCAGGCTATCATCAAGGGTTCGTCGCCCCCGAACGGAACAGAATGTCTGGAACTGGTCAAGAATATCGGCTATCTTATTCAGCAATCACAGTTGCACTCGAAGGATGTTATCCCGGGCGGAGCGTGCAGCTCCCTTACCGGCGAAGGTAAATTTCTGAAACAGGCGGAAGTGGTATTAATGTATCAAAAGCGCTAAGCATTGTAACCCAAAGTACTCGTAATACTATGAATTTTTTACTTGGTACTCTTATTATTGCGCACGACGATTCATTTGTTTTTTCATATGCACTGGCAGTTTTCTTTTTATAGCACGATACCAGTATTTATTACAAAACTTTGGCGGCTTGGCTGACATCGTGGACCAGCAAGGCGTTGCGCATCAGAATGACGCCTATCCCGGGAAGTGGCTGGCCATTTTCATTAACACCTACAAATCAAAGAAACGAATCGAGACGGTCGTTAACAACAACGATTCCAGTACGGAATGCACGAACGCCACCAAACAAGTCTCTGGGACGCTGCAGGATCTTCTTTCCGCGAGCTCTAGCTCGTAATTAATGGTACCTGGACGGACCGGTTTCCGATTTTTACTGGACAGCGGATGTTGCGGACATTCCACATCAGTGTAGAAAATGAGATTTACAAATTACATACGCTGAAATCTTTGACTGACAGCTACAATAACGGCGCATTTCTACTGTCATAAAATTTTGATTGATTTTTGCTAAAATATAACAATTTTTCAGCTACAGTATCGTCCACATAACATAAACAGTAAATGATATGGAAAAAAGCGCCAGGTATAGGAAATAAAGGCACGGTTATGTAAGGATTGCACGTAAAGAAAGGAAAAACTTATTAATGCAAAAAATTATGATTATTATGATCGCACTATACGTAATCAATCTGTTTTTTCACATGTAATATCTCCTCATAATGGCAATCAGGTTGCCATTGGGAGGGGATATTATTAGTACATGTGGAAAAACATATTGATTAATCATTGTTCTCGTTATTTTCCTGCATTTCCTGTTCCACTTCTCGCTTCTGCTACTGATATTTTCGTGGTTTATTGTAAATGCCGTTTCCGCGATACGTATTCGCTCTGATAAATTTAGTATTATGAAGGGTCGCCGCCTTCAACAGTAATTTCCGCTTGGTCAATATAGGGGGCAAAACTAAACGTGTTCCACCGTTTCCGGCTACTGCAGCCGTCACCCTGCTGGAGTTTTACGTTGTGGGCCTTGTGGCTGAACATGGCGCTTACGTACCGCGCCAGATTTAACCGTATGTATTGCGGTAACGTCATGCTCCAGGCGAGTGACGGCAGCAATACAGGGGAACCGTGGAACACGCTTAGTTTTGCCCCCTATATTCCTTAAAATCTACATCATTTATAGTCCGTATTTAAATAAGTGAATCTGCCCCACCAGGTGGCGACCGCGTTGTGAGCGCCCCGCGACAGGCGCGACTCGTGGTGCTATGAAGGTGCTCTAATTAAGGGAGTCGACCCCGTAAGTGTGGCTAAGCGCGGTATTAACCAGTTTAGCCGTTGGCCGTTGGGACTTTAAAATTTCAACAGACTTTAGCTACTCTAGCGCTTTAGTTCACTTCTTAAGTATTGCTTTTTCAGTTTTATGTCGATCTCTATTTTCCGTCCGATCACTGGGATATTAGCTGCTTCGAGAACCTTTCCATCCACTGATCTGTTTCAAACCCCGAACATGCCCGCCAATCTGCTGAGGTATGTGGCTGCTACAACGATGTTTCATTTCCTTCTTTGTGTCATCTATCTTTCCCCAGCTCCTTGTCTAGCCCACTGAAAGTGTGTTTTACAGTTTCCTGTATGCTGATACAGCTGAACATCTCACTCGCAACAACGTCTTCGCGACGATGAGTTGCGCGGACAAATACGATGTGCCACAGCTGATGAAAGTCTGCGCTGACTTGGTCGTCCGCCAACTGAACCCAGTGAACTACCTGGACACTTTGGAAGAGGTGAGGTATCCCTTCAATTTCGCAAGATTTTTGACAAGAATAGCCAGTTTGTTGGTGTTATTTGTTAAAGGCAATTCAGGGACATGCCGACGGAATAGTGAAGTGCCTGGAAATGGTGGATGCTAAGGGTTACCGGATCCTGTCATCGGACCAGTTCAGCGCGATCAGTCAGAAAGCCCTGCGGAAGATTCTGCAGCGCAGCACGCTAATGGCGGAGGAGAATGATGTTTACCTGGCTGCTGAAAGGTACCGGCAGGATACCGCGCGCTGAAACAATTTTTACACATCAGCAGATATCAGGCATACGCGGCAGGGTGTAAAACCTGGCACTGGCAAGTGCCTCTGGCGTTGCCACTGGCATGGCTAGGGATAAAACCTGGTATGTTATCCCTCTGGCACGCAATAAAATATGGCATATGCCGGAAAACTAGAATTATCAAAACCATAACTTTCACTACGATGTTGGAACTCACTGTTAAACTGCTAAAATAAAAAATAGCGATTAAACTGAAACTTTCAAAACTAAATATAAAAATGATCTAGTACCATATACATCGTACGGTTATTCGTCCCGGCAAATACGTAATAGAAGTAGAAGTATTACTAAAACTAAATTTTCAAGGCAATTCTCATGTGGTGATATTGCACTTGTTTAAGTCGATCTCTAACGACCGGCAAACTAGTGATGTTTGAGTACGGCTGATCTCCATGTCGACGATTTCCGGTGGGTGGAACGCTGATGGCAAGAGCTCTCCCTTTGTACACACACTGCACCTGAATACGAAGTCATATTCGTATTAAGGTCATACACATACAGTACGATGAGTTATACGGCCGGGTACTGCACCAATTTTAGTACAATTATTGCATTACAAAATTGCTTAATGGAAAAACCGATGCAAAAATAGGGGCAGTTTCTTCGATTAATCAGCAGTTTGTTATTCTAACGGGCACTAAAGAACTACTGAATTACTGTAATTTCATGGAAATTAATCTCATGCAACAAACGAGTTAATTAAGGTCTTATTAGCTTAATATCTTACTACGTAGATCAGCCTGAATGTTTACCGCCGTCACTCTTTTTTCTCTAGTGGTGTTGCAACCTGTTCAGCACTTCACGATCGTCGTTGCACCAACTACATGTATGTACAATGGACGCCAAAATTGTCTTACACTTATGTAATCACAGAACTCGCTCAACCAAGCACTTTTCTGTACTCAAATAGCCAAATTTTTGACTGGCCATCGGCCTGCTGACATTTACACTTACACCTTGCGCATTTCCCAACGAAAACCGTCGACCAATATCTCAAACGAATGAGGAAAAAATTTCAAGAATTTTGATACCGAACAAAGCGTTCTTTATAAGATCTAAGAGATAATCCAGGCATCTAAAGTTTCTCGTAGACATAGCATAGGATTTGCATCCGCGGTTTGGTTTCAGTTTTCACACAGAAATCGTGCGCTTTGTCTACGATAAACTAAAATGGCTCGATTTTCTCTTAGATCTCATGAAGGATGACCCGTTTGGTATCGAAATTCTTGAAATTTTTTTGTCTTTCGTTTGAGATATCGCCTGATGGTTTTCGTTGGGAAATGCGCCAGGAACAAGTATTCGTATTCTTGCGCGTTTTCTGTTTATTGGTCATTTGGTCCTGGGCCATTTATTTTTATTGGTCATTTGGTCCCGGACCGAATGTAAGACAATTTTGGCTTCCATTGTATGAAGCCCGCTATTGAGAACTGGGATTCTAGAACGAGATAAAAATAACAGCAGTAATATTCATCATTTAGCTTATTCACCCAGTCACCGTACGTCTAATTAAAATGCAACTTTACATAATTTCAACACTTCACAATATCGGTACTTATCAATATTTGTAATTATAATCCGTGTTGTATACCACACAGCTCCGAACGCTTACCCAATGTCCAGCATCGGTACATTTCCAAGCGTTACTCTTTTTCGACAGACTAACGCAGACACAATCAGTAATGTTCGGAACGACAATTAATAAAATTGTTCGTAGTATGTTGGCAATTGTAAGTGTCAACGTGTCGTCTACGTAAAAACGATGGCTGAAGGCAGAACAGTAACTTTAAGTTCAAAATGATTAGCGTTTGATGTCTGAATGGTAACTACCAAAATATGTAATGTTGTGTCTCTATGTGCACTGAACTTTGGTCCGGCGGAAGAGAAGGTCGATGCAGTTGCGAATCTGCACCGTTGCACAAAACAAGAGCGCCTTTAATACAAATTTCATAGACATACGCACACACTCATAATACAAGTACATGTGCCAATTGCCATTTTGCAAGCAACTGTTCGTATCATTGCATAATCTTCTGTTTTCCAAACAACAGATAACCCAGACCTTTAATCATCAGTCATGTCAAGTTTAACATATGAGTCAAAGACAGTCAATAAGCGTTGGATTTAAGTCGATATTTTCTGTTTTCGGTGAGTGCCATTTCACTTTGTGCCGGTTGTAGTAAGCCTGCACATGTAACGATTCATACAAGATTTATTGAAATTTAAGTGCTCATTTGAACATGTATAGTTAAAGCTTAAAGGCAATTCGCATATACTGGTATGCAAATTATGCCGCTAATTACGAAATTTAAATGATGATGATGACAACTAAAAGTTAACTTTATTTTTTACAGGTCTGTTTGGTGTAGAATAACCTAATAACGGGTGTTTTCGGATTTTCAGTGATCAAATCACAGTCTTATCGTGAGCGCCTATTGCCGGGATATTTACCTGCATTTTTTTTAATTATGCATCTGTGTTAAGAGCGGCGTCATTTTGATCTGCTCTGTGTGGAAATGTTTGTGTGGTTGTACTTTTTATCGTGACCTGTGTAAAGGCGGGACGCTCCGCCCTCCTGAGTAGCTATTCGCTGTTTCTGGGGATTTCCACCCCGCACATTGCTGCGCTGTATTGACGGATCTGCAGCACAGTTGCACTGGCTGCAGAATCCTTCCTTGTTAGTCTGGTGTTGCTGCGCCACGGTGCGCATTAGATTCGGCAACAAAGCCTCATCCGGGTTCACCGCTGTTCGCTGTCGAGGATGCGCGTGGCGCCCATACGGCCCGCGTTATACCTGTACCATCGCGTAAGGAACAGAGTTCAACAGACGGTGCGGAATAAGCCCGATGGTAAAATAGAAGTTTTTACTACTCGTCATTATTGCAGCGTACTTTGTCTGGGCACCAACCGGTTCCCATTAGGCGATGAGGATTTTTGCATTACAGTATTAAGCGTACACCGTCCATGCCAAATGATTGCAAATCGAAACGCGGATGCAGTATATTCTTCGTGAATCGGCGTGGTTTGGAGCTTGGAACAGTTTTCAAATTCATTCTTTTTGCAGCACCATTACGCATTAATTGCTGATCGAGCTGTTCATGCCGATGGGTGTAATTCGTTGAGAAAATTAGTAAGGTCTTGTAACTCTTGTCCATGTACGGGTTTAAGCATTAGCAGCTATTAATGCAACTGATACAATCACAGTTTTATTAATTTTTGTAACTTGTACAAAGGAGGCAGCGTCAATATTTTCTACTTATTTATTAACCGCTGTGCACGTGTTTTCTGGCATATGCCATATTTTATTGCGTGCCAGAAGGATGACATACCAGGTTTTATCCCTTGCCATGCCAGTGGCAACGCCAGAGGCACTTGCCAGTGCCAGGTTTTACACCCTGCCGGGCAACAACGGCCTGCACTCGCAACAACATGGATCCATCCAGCGCTAATCGGCGAGAAGTGCTGGGCGACGCTCTCTTCATGATAAGATTTCCGCTGCTGACTCCTTTGCAGTTTACTGACGCAGCCAAGGTGAGCGGACACGTCGAGAGTACACGTAGACGAAACTGCATTGGTAGCTAATCTAATTTGGAAACGGTATGGTGGCAGAATGGTTTGCTGACTAAGGAGGAAATCTCCAGCATCGTCACGTACCACAATGCCACCATGAAACCGTCCCTTCTGTTTTCCGCGGAATATCGCACGGGAACACAAGCGCTGAAGCCGCTAACGCTCGGCTACGGAGAGGACGTCTTCGTCCGTACTCGTACCAAAGAGGGCATATTGTGTTGGAAACCAACCCGGATTACCGGATTTAATTCCGGTCAGCTGTGGTTTGTGTGGTGTAACAGGGAATAACCCGCCCCGGTAACGCCGGACAAGGTGGTACGGGCTGTGATATTCTAAAACGTGGCCAGCCTTTGAATGTGCGCACTTCCGTCGAATCGAATTATAAGAGTGGAACGTACTACGGCATGGCGGGTAACCAGCACCGGGTCTTCTGCCCCGGAGAGAACATCGTTGTTTGGTTCTACAATCTGATGCTTTGCGACCATCAGGTCGTGTCATGGAAGAGACCATGGGAAAATCTAAAATTTATCGCCGAGAGTGTATAATTCTGCGCATTTATGTTCAATTTAATGAAGATTAGTCGGTTTGAAATAAAATGAACCGTATTGGTCGGCTAATGGGTATCTACTGACTACTGCAAAAGTACGTGTTACAACGCGGTACATCTTATGTATTGTACGACTACCGTAGTTGACAAAACATCGGACAACAGGTAACATTCTACTGATTATTAGTATCGTCATTCTTTAATTTCTATAAAACGAACCAACACACACTTCCAGTCGTATTGTTCATTAGGCACGCACAGCATGGAAAAGAATGGATGCCACTGACACCGCTATCGAACCACATGGGTACGATAAGGATAGCATTGAAGAAGTGTTTCTGTTATAAATGTTTTCTAGTACTGAGTTTGTACTTGTGACATGATACTTATTAAAGGTGCGAGCACATCGGTACGATAACCCTCCCATTCACTCAGGGCTTCGTCCTGTTAGGGAGTTTAACCGACAAAACCATCCAGACGGATAAACCATCCGTCCCGAATTTGCAGTCCGGCAAAACCGTCCGTCGTTCCAAAAAAGGACTATCTAGCAAAAATTTTCCCCGTCCAGTTTTGTTACACTTTCTGTTATCGTGGACTGTAGGCATCCCGATTTCTGCCTGGACGGTTATGCGGGACTGGAAATTCGGGGCGGATGGTTCATCCGTCTGGATGGTTTTGCCGGTTACAGTTTGTCCAACATACAGTACGACATTAGATCCGCAGGTAAGTACTTATGTAGCGCGCCACAGGGAGCAGCTGGTGATCCGCTGGCTGCTCCGCACTTTTTAACTGAAGAGTCTGTGAGCCTTGACGCACCAAATGTCGCGTTTCTGATGGTTTGGTGTCGTTTGTGGAGCGAACAATTTCTTTAACCATAAAGCGGGATGCGATCAGAAGGGAAATATGGGCATAAGCGGCTGCAGCCCTAGCGGCGCTTACGTGAACCGTATACTGTAGCCGCTAGATGAAGTGGCTCCACAGAGTCTGGTGTACGAGAAAAGGCACGACGTATATACATACGCTGAATTGAATAAAAAAATTGAATTTTTGCTGCATTTTTGATTTTCAGTCATTTTAACAGGTTTTTTGAACCAAAATTGTGTACCTGAGCTTGATTTTATAGTGAATAATTGCATTTCGGCTGTGGATAGTATTTGAATCAGAGCTCTAATTTGTCGAAATGGGCCGTAAGCAGCGTAGTTATACAGAGGAACAGATTCGAGCATTTCTGATCGGTTTTGCTGCCGCTGATGTGAGCGCACGGAGTTACGCAAATAACATCGGAGTTCCATGGAGAACTTTCACGCGCTGGAAAGGTACAGCTAGATTTTTAATTTATTATCTACTTGCGTGTTTTGAAAGCAGCCAGTCTACCTGCAGCAGGTTGAAGAAGAACGAGCCTCTTCGAAAGCAGAAACACAAGCGAAAGCCGGAGCACTCAGACATAGAGGACGCCTTGTACGAATTTCTCCTGGCCGAACGGAAGAAGGGTCTTATTGTGACACGTCTGGAGCTGAAAAAAAGAGCTAGAATTAGCCCAGGCGAAAGGAGCTCCTACCTTCAAGGCTTCAGACTGTTGGCTTACTTGCTTTTTGAGGAGAAAGTGCCTGCGATATCGTGTCCCAACTCGACATGCTCGCAAGTCTGAATTCACGGAGGAAGATCTGGTAAGTTGAATTTTTTAACATTATAAATGAGAGCTCTGACAATTTTCTAAAAAACAGGAAGAAGAGCTGGAGTATTTTCTCCGCTTACACAATTCCATCGTTCTGGATGAAACTCCCGCTGACCGCGTATTCAATTTCGATCAGACGATGATTCGCCTTGTAGCGCCGAAACCGAAAACACTTTCTCCCATTGGAGTGAAAGAAGTAATTCTATAGCTTTTAATCAATTTATAACAAACATTTATAACAAAGTTATGAGAATTGTGAGAGCTCTGATATTTTATTAATTTATTGAATCTGGTTTGTTGTGCTTTTTTGGGGTGCCCTGGCCACCGGGGTGGTTCCTCTGGAAAGCTGACTGTGAACGGCTTTGCAGGTTACTGTTAAACAGCCTCCTGGCGAAAAGAAGGAATAACTGTGTCTTTAACGATCCGTGCGGATGGAGGAAAATATCCTGCTGTAGTGGTGCTAAAGGGGAAAGAATGGGAAGCTGTCAGAAGGGATAATGAACAAGCTGAAAGTTCCTCCTAATATTTTGTTGAGAGCTCTTACTCTACTTGGTGGACGGAGCAGATGGATCTGGACTGGATAAAGTATACATTTCCCGAAGAAAAGCAAAAGCGTGTTTTAGTTCGAGACCAGGCACCGGTCCACAAAAGAACCATCGGAGCTCCTACTTAGAGAACGAAATGTCGAGCAAATCTTCGTGCCTGCTGGTCGCACAGGCGATTATCAGCCCCTTGACGTCAGCGTTAACAAAGCAATGAAGGCCTCTTTTCGTAGCGAATATCAGCTTTGGCGAGCAACTCATCATGAAGTAACAAAATCGGGATATCTGAAGAAGCCAGGGCGCCAAGACTTCCTGGATATGATCTCTCGTGCATGGCAAAGCGTAACCCCAGATCTTGTCCGTAAATCGTTTTCGCTGCTCAGGTGCTTAAGAATGATGACCGAGATCATGATTATGAGAGCTCTGAAAATGATTATGAGAGCTCTGAAATGGATAAGGAAAATCTAGTTGATGAAAGCGATTCTGAAATGGAGATTAGTTTATTCAGTGATAGTATTTTAGAGAGTGATGGTACCTGTGAGATAGAAAACGGTTTACCAAAGTAAAAGAGTACTAAAATAAAATGAATAAAATAAACTTTACGTGTGCGCTGCCCGTTGGCGGTAAGCACCGTGCTCAATGCCCGACGAGGGGAAGGCAGCGCCCGGATCTAACAGTGGAGCCACTTCATCTAGCGGCTACAGTACAGTACAATACAAGCACTGAAGCACAACGGTTAGTCCGTTAGTGAAAGTCGCGCTAGCGAATTTCTGACTCCAGAATCCACTCAATCCAAACTGGCCTGAATTTTTCCTGATCAGATTTTAGGTGTTCTTAGCTGTTAATGTGTTTTGTTAGTCTTGAGAGTTATAAAACTGATATTATCGTAACGCGGTGGTAGTGATTCGTGAATGCCATTTTCCGTTTGATAACCTGGGAGTCTAGGATCTTTATTCTGGTGTTTTAAACCTTTCCCTTGCTGAGCCGTTGTATTGTTTATGAAACACTCGACCATGTCCATGAATCCGACCTCATAAACGGCACCTGATGGGCCCGACTCTGGCGGGAAGATAGCGGACTGTATGGAGAAAATGTTAGCCAGCGGAGACCTGAGTGATGTGAACTTCACAGTGGGGCGCCAGTTCGGCCAGACCAAGAACTTCGCCGCGCACAAGTATGAGTACCTTGAGAGCGCTTGATGAAAGCTCTAGTCTTTTCATTTGTGGCATGACAACTGACGAGACATGGTTCTTGCAGATTTGTGCTCGCTACTCGCAGTTCCGTCTTCCGTACGATGTTTTACGGGAGTCTTCCAGAGCAGTGTCAAGCAGCTCTCGACATCCCCGATATCTGTCCTGAAGGGTTTGCCAATCTGCTCAGGTATGTGGGTGGGACAAGGATGTTTCAATTGGTTGTTTTTTACTGTCTTTATTCCCCATATATTTGTCTAGTCCGTTAGAACTTGGCCCTTTACAGTTTCATGTACGCTGATACAGTTAAAGATCTTACTCGGGATAACGCCTTCGCGACGATTTGTTGCGCAGATAAGTACGATTTACCACAGCTGGTTAAATGCTGCACTGACTTGGTACTCAGCCAACTTAATCCAGAGAACTGCCTGGCCACTTTGGAAGAGGTGAGGTGTCCACTGCATCATCTATGATAAAAAGCCAGGTGGTTGTTGTTGTTTTTTCAGGCCGTGCAGTGGCATACCGACGGAATAGCGCAGAAGTGTCTGGAAATGGTGGATGCTAAGAGTTATCGGGTCCTGCATTCGGAGCACTTCTGCTCCCTTAGTCAACATGTACTGCGGATAATTCTGCAGCGGAGCACGCTAATGGTGGAAGAGAATGTTGTGTTCCTGGCTGTTGAAAGGTACCGCAGTGTTAGAAATATATTATTACATTTACAGCGCTTGCCGTTATTATCGAATTTGTGGCCCACTTCACAACACTGCCTCTCCACTCCGTAATAAGCGCCCCTACCCAATAATGGTTTGAAAAATTAGAGCACGCCCTAGATTACAGCCCACGGCCCGCTAATAATGATACGAGCAACAAAATCATGGTTACTTTGTTTTCTAATCTCGGATCTTGCATTGTTTCAAACTCAGCTGACGAACTGAAGTATGTGGTGATTGTTGTAGAGAACGTGTGCCGGGATGTTGCAGAAATGATTTGTAATCGCTATTTAACTACCGCGTTCGGTTTCAAACTTGAAGTAGGGCAGGATGAAACAGTCTATCGAAAAATAATTTTTGAAAAGAGTAATGCCGATCACCACTCCACCCCCTCTCGAAATAACGGCCCCTCCCCGAAATAAGCGTTTCTTCATGATATTCGAAGCATTTGTGCCCCTCGCCTACGTATCGGTATTTGTGCATCTCTTCGCAACGTGTATTTGTATATTTCGCTGATTTGAACGGCATCCGATAATTATATTATAAGACTATCTCAATACACTGAATGTTTTGTATGCAGTTGGGCAATAGCGGCCTGTGCTCGTAACGACATGGATCCATCCGGTGCGAATCAACGACAGATGCTGGGAGACGAGTTTTTCTTAGTAAGATTCCCGCTGCTGTCTCCATCGCAATTTTCTGACGCTACCAAGGTGAGCGGAAACATAGGGATGTAAAAAAATGAAGTATTAATTAAGAAACTGTATTGTGACATTTGCAACTGTATTCCGACAGGGTGGTCTTCTCACTGAAGCGGAAATCTCCAGCCTCATCATGTACCAGAATGCCACCGTGAAACCGTCCCTTCCATTTCCTGTGGAACGTCGTACGGGGCCCCAACCGCTGGATCCGTTGACGCTGCGCTACGAAGAAGACGTTTTCGTCCATATCGACGGGATGAAGTGGTGGAGGCCAGCCAGGATTAGCAAATTTAATGCTGATCAGGTGTCGTTTGTGTGGTGTAACACGGGCCGTCAAGGCACGGTAACACCGGACAAGGTGGTGCGGGCGGCGGATATTTTGCAGCATGGCCAGCCTTTGAGAGCGCGCACTTCCTACGTGTATAATTACAAGGATGTGACGTATGACGGTATGGAGGGAAGTCAGCACCGGGTCAGCTGCAACGGGGAGGACGTCGTTGTCTTGTTCCAAAATTTGATGCTATGGAATCATCAGGTCGTGTCGTGGAAGCTGAATAATGGGAGAATCTAATTTGTTCTAAAGAGCTGGAACAGTTATTTATTTGTTACCTGTGGTAGTTTTCGGTGTAAATGTCTACGTAAAAGGCATATCTGCTTGTTTAAATTTCTATGTATTCTCCGTACATTTTCGTAGTGCATTGGCTGAATATGTATTTAAGGTTGCTGACTTGCTGTTCACTAATTGGCACGCGTATTGTCACCCACTCCGATGGTTTGTTGTATTTTGTAGTTTATATTTGGGTAATATTTTTTATTCTGCTGATTGAATGAATTATTGTCCAATAAAGTACGTAACTAAAAATCAGAAATTAACAAATACCCAGTAAACAGGGTAATAAAATACACAAATAAAAATTAGAAAAATAAGCTGAATAATAATTATAAAATAATTAACTGCTGTATTATGGTTAATAAAGATCAGTAACATTATTTCGTAAGCTAATAAATATTACAATCTCTCGTTTGGTGTGCTTAGATTGGTAATCTGGAGAAACAGTTGGATGTGATGGATCGTTGGTACTATTCGTTGGAATGTATTATTTATCAAAAATGCTCGTAAGGAAGCCATATAGTAGACCTGAATAATCTGATGCTTTTACGAAATGTGTGAACAGTGAACACGCGCACGGCACAATGAAGCTTCTTCTGCGTAGCGAATACCACAAATTAAATAAACAACATGGATAAAACTATGAACAGCGGCATTAGCGGTACGCATTTATGATCTCGTCCCTGAACTTAAGCCGAATACCATCCCGCCTTTTCTTCTGAGACGGTGTTAAGCAACCGTTGGCTAGAGAGAAAGGCTCCGGCAACATAACGATCCTCTCCGGAACTTCCCAGGGCTGCATGCCGGTTTCTTGTCCAATTCGCACCAGCTCTTCCTTGATAAGCGCTTTGACAAGGACCTCGGATTCCGGAGACTTTGGATCGGCAGTGTGCGCACCAAGCTCCTTATAATTTGGATATATCAAAGCGATGCAAAATTCGTATTTGCTGTTGCCATCGATGAAGATATTCTGTATAAAATTGGAGCGCGCAAAGGTGCTTTCTAATCTTTCAGGCGCCAGATATTCTCCTTGGTTCAGTTTAAAGATGTGCTTTTTTCGGTCGATTATCTTCATGTAGCCATTCTGCAGATCATAAAACTGTAATAGCTGGTTGCCGACTAAAAGTTTTTTGGACGAATTATGGGGTTTTAGGTTTACGGTTTTTTTACTGACCGGTTGCCATTCACCAACATCCCCTGTGTGAATCCAACCATCCCTATCGATGAGCTCCGCGGTTTTTTCTGGCATTTTATAATATCCGTTTGACCCGAAAGTTACTCGCATACACACTTCCCCTCGTCCGTCGCGAGCGAAATACTCCAATTCAGGAACGTCTTCCAGTCTGGCTTCCACACCGGGTAACGGCAACCCGACATGACCCGCAGACATTTCGCCGTAAGGAGTGGAAAATGCAATCCCAGCTGTTTCTGATTGGCCATAAATTTCAAAAATCTGCGAAATTTCGTAACTAGCTATAGAGGAATGTGGCAGCTATTATTTAGTACTTAAAATAAAAGCATTTCGTACGTAGCAGCCAAGTACAGCGCGCGCGTAATTCAGAATTTCACCATCGGTAGCCGCCGCTCCTGTGACACCCACACGAATTTTTCCGCCCAACATGTTTTGATACTTTCGGAACACCAGACGATCCCAAATAGAATCCTTCCGAAAGATTCCGTGCTCCATTTCTACTTTTTTAACAGCTACGCCCAGGTTTGCTAACGTACGACGGTACAGGGACTTATTGAGGTCGCTCTGTATTTCCGTACAGAGGTGGCTGTTCAGCCGTGGTACGAGCAAGAATACTGTCGGGGCAACATCTTTGGCGTCAGCGAACCAGTTGGTCAACACGTCGCCGCTGATGTAACCCACTTTTCCACCGTGCAAATGAATTAACTTCTCCATTTCACGCTCCAAAATGTGCGCCAACGGGAACAATCCCAGTAATGTGTCGTCCGGGCCAAATTGTAACGGCTGTGATAGTATACTTCAAAGTTTCATACACATAAATTGCCCGTAAAAAAGAAGTGATCTTACCAAAAAACCCTGCGCTAGAGCCATAACGCCCGTCAGCATTTGCCGGTGTGTAATTGTGACACCTTTTGGTATTCCCGTTGTACCGCTTGTGAACGATAACGTAGCCAGGCTGTCTGGTTTAGAAAGGCAAAGTGGGCGTGGGTTTAAGCGTCCTAATTCCTATCATTGGCGTGTTTTGTCAAAAACTATGAGCAATGCTGCTTACAGTATGCTTACCTCAACCTCCACCACCGAAAGCAGCTGAACGCCGAAATCTTCTAGCTTAGCCTTTCTATGTTCAGAAAGGTACTCATGAATCGTGATAACTGTCCGCAAAGATGGTGGAAATTTACCGTCGTGCATTAAAGCGTCGACCTGCGCGTCTCCACCACAAATCATGATTTCCAGTTTGCCTGCAAAGAAAAATTTGCTGATTCGAAGATTTTGCCATCGTAACAGAAATCTTGGCTTACAAAAATCGGTAACAAGGAAACAGGCTTCGCCACCGAGCGCATCGTATAGCGGAGCGACAACCATTCCATACGCCATGCACCCGTACTCGGCCACTGTCCATTCTACGCATGTCGGTGCAAATATGCCGACCAAGTAGTCGTTATTCGGTTGGCCGCCTAGTTGCAGCAAGCCGGCGCCGAAATTTTGCGCTCGTTCGATCAACTCACTGTACGTTAAGTAAATGTATGGAGCCTTCGCGGCTGGCCGGTATCCAACACATTTCCCGTTATCTACAAACATAAAATCTAAGAAAGATCTATAAAGAGGGTCTATAAAAAGAATGAGAATTATCTTGCCTTTCGGATCTGAGAACTTAAACGTTATGAAAATGGTGCTCACTTGAGAACTGCAGCTCATGTTTTTAGAAATATTTTTAGTTAACATTTCCGAGCAAAATTATGCAGACAACTGATTTACGGAAATACTACAGTTTCTTTGGACACAGTCGCAAAAGCATTCTGCTCGTTCTAAATTTGAAAAAGAATACGTCGAATGCACGTGCATTTAAGACGTTGATTATTTTACCGGATATAAACTTTCCAAATGACAACACATTGAATATGTTTAGAGGATGTTCCATTAGAAACTTGCGTGCTGCCTTTTCACCATCTGGTTGGTAATGGCGTTGATCAAATCCATGCTGTTTAAAAGCACAACGATTAACAGCTTTTTTCTGAACCCGTGATTTTACAGAGTTATCGAGCTTACAGAATTTTAGAGAATTACCAAATTTTAGGGAATTAACAGAATTTCACAGGATTTTACCGAATTATCGATTCACCAGAATCATTATTTTTAAAACAGCAGACACTGGTCGTGTCTTACAAAGGATGTTATGCATGATATATTATTGAATTATCTGAAATTAAATCCCATTTTGCAGTTAATGTTTTAATATCGATGCAGGCGCAGCACATTTGATGAAAATTTCGGCTTAATTTTATGAACGTTATATCTCGTAATCTGTGTATTTTTTGCTACTCTACAGACGTACAAATGTTGGTGGGCTCGCGGTAAAGTAGCCAGCAATTCCATGGAAGAGCTTTTCTATGACGAAAACGACTATCCAAATTGCCGTAACTACCATACGCAACGCTGATGCAACGATACAGTTAACCACACGTCGACCTGGGGAGGTCATGGTGACAACTGTCCCGACGTTGTAAAACTTTCCAATATGTTTTTAAGCAGTCCTCTTCAAATCAAAGAACAAAACTTTTTCTGTCCAGATAAACAGCATGATTCGAAGGTGAAATATCGGAGTGATTGGCACACCCATCGTAAATATTTCTTGTCGGTAAACTGGCCTTGTAAAAATGCTCTGAGTTTATAAAATTTAGTAAAGACACTGGGCATACAGCAGGCGATGGATGTACATTCCGGTTGCATCGCGCATGATTTCAGCGAACGATGCACACGTAGTATGTCGGTGGAAAACGAGTTTCTCGCGGTCAGTACGGTCGTCGTCTTGAAAGATGCTTTAAGCGGTGAAATATCGAGAGATAGTGCAACTCCGCTGAATGAAGTGTTTAAACATTTCCTATTCACTTTGCCGCAGCCGCACACATACTTTCCCTGCTGATTCATCATAGAAAGTTCTTACCGTTGATATGCATTATAATCGCTAACACTTTGCCCGCATAGCACTCCTGCTACAATGGGTAAAGGCTTCTTATGTCAGGGCTGCTGCCGCAGCGTGATTTTTGGTGCAGGTAGACCGTAGAGGTGCCGTAACAAAATTATTCGAAAACGTTTTCTTGGGACTAGCGAATTATGTTATCACAGGAAATTTTGCAAACGCAGTACTTTTGGAGCACGTAGCCACGTACTATAAGATATGATAAAAATATGAACTTTGAAAACATATAAAAACACACACAGAAAATATGCCTGCAGTGAATCACACTAATTAGAAATTTTTCAATTAAATTTTGTGAATCTGCACAGGCCTGTTTTTGTGTAGGTACTGAATAACAAAAACATCAATGATGCGCAAAATTAACGGAACTGTAAAAGGCTACATACAAGCAATAAAAAGAGGTTTATAGATAACACTTTCCCTACTCAATTTTTTTCTACATATCTTGTCACTGAGTACAGGCTGTTGCCGAATAAAAGTTGTCATACGCGTACTTTAGTTACGCTCCCGTATTCCAATGCTCTTGTTTGGGTCTTGTACATAATTCTCATTGCCAATCTATGTTTTTTTCCCGTCATACATATTTCCTAAAACGAATTAATTTATAATAACTCGGCTTGCTTACTGCCATAGTAATTTTAGCTTTTTTTAGAATTCTCGAGATCATCCTCATCATTACTGCAACAATGTACCTCTTGAAGTTGCTTTACCATGCAGCCAAGACATTCCTATTTGAATTCGTGATCTTTTTCGTAACTGATGCCGTACAACCCTTCATTCTGCGTTCTTGCTTAATCGCTCCCGACTCTCGTCATAGAATATATGTTTGATTTCAGCAGCCACCACAAGTGCAGTTTTGTAATTCTCCATAATACGGGTTCTAGTAATTTTGTTGACCACTCAGTTCAAAACATTTTGCTTTCTTTCGCTCGTTTGACTGCCCTTCGTTCTATCTTCCGTTCTTTTCGTCGTATTGCACATGAACATAAATGGAGGGAACTATAATGCGACACTATAATGGGACACTATATATATTTTATTAAATCTTCCCATTATTCGTCTTCCATGACACGACCTGATGGCTATCAAGCATCAAACTGTAGAACCAAACCACCACATCCCGTCCGTTGCAGCTGACCCGATGTTGACTTCCTTCCTTACTGCCATACGTTGCATCGTGATAATCATAGCATCTGACAGTTCGCATTTTCAAAGGCTGGCCATGTTGCAAAATATCCACAGCCCGTACCACTTTGCGCGGCGTTACAACGCCGCTTTTTTCATTGTCACACAGTACAAACCACACATGGTCTGGGTTTATGCGGGTAATCCGGGCTGGCCTCCACCAATCAACTACCCCCTGGGGCTGGACAAAAACGTCTTCACCGTAACGCAGCGTCAACGCATCCAGCGGTTGTGGTCCCGTACGACATTCCGCAAGAAATGGAAGTAACGGTTTCACGGTGGCATTCTGGTACATGGTCACACTGTCATGGTGATACCGGAGATTTCCGCTTCAGTCAGAAGACCACTCTGCCACAAAAGCAATTTCCAAATTATTAGTCCATTTTTGTTAACACCCAACACCCTTTCTCCGCTCACCTTGGTACCGTCAGCGAATAGCGAGGGAGTCAGCTGTGGGAATCTAATCAAGAAAATAGCGTCGCCCAGCATCTGTCGCCGGTTCGCACCGGATGGATCCATGTTGTTACGAGCACAGACCGCTGTCGCCCAGCTGCTATATATGCACCTCATCTGCAGTGCACAAACATCCAGCGTGAGAGGATATGCCGCTACATATCTTCTAGCGTGTTGCGATAATCCCACATATTCTACGTCGTTCTACACTTAGTAAGCGAAGTGCTGTGAAGCATGTATTAAACACTCCGCACCCCCAAAATCAACGCCTTTACTGTGCTTTTAAAAGTGCCTAATGAGGATAGAGGAACGGCTCTGTAGTAAGTACCGTCTGAATGGTGCATCCATGATTCTGCTAAGCTAATTAAGTCTCACTAGCCACCATTTTCTGACAGCGGCACTGGTCTAAGTTTACTCGTTCGAACTATGAATCCAGCCCCCGTCCCTTTGTAATAAACGCCCCTGCAGTTTTATGCGCTCTGTCTCGAAGCTATGAAAAGAACAGAACTCGGCGCTTAAATAAGAGTTTCCAGTATGACGTGCGCGTTGCGACAAGATGCCCATAGACAACAGATAATCAAATCCTACAAGTGAGAAACCTTTCGGCGGCCAGGTAAACAACATTCTCCTCCACCGTTAGCGTGCCGCGCTGCAGAGTCATCCGCAGTACGTCCTGAGTTTAGTGACTGGTAGTCTGATACGCAAAACTTTTAATGCGTATTCGGTAATTGCATCTTGCCGGCCGGCAACAGTAATTCAGCCCGAATGCACCGCAGAAAATTGCTCCAGAAACTGTCAAACCAATCGAGCATACGGAGTCGCCCTGGAGCAATCCGGCAGCAATAGTGCTTAGATGACGCTTCCAGAAGTAACAACTAGTTACAAAGTTTTTTTTACCAGGTTTAGTCACTGTATTGTTTTACCACTTTGGTCTAATACTCTGTTTACTATTGCTAACTGTTAACATGCCCGAACTCGCACAAACCAACTCTAGTTTATTCTTTTACTTCTGCTGATGACGCATTGCGCTCGCTGAGCTGTCGATGTATGTTATTGCTGTGCCCTTTTCCAGATGCTAGATTGAATTGTATTCAGTCTTAAAATAAACTTTAACTTAAAATCGTTAGTTAACAGTTAGCCATGGCGGTACTGTAGTACACATAGAATTACTGATCATTATTCATAACGCATGCATCCGGTATCTTATGGTTAAATTGCAAAGAGTACAATAGTCAGTGCGAGTATTTAGTACTGTACAATATGTACTTCCAGACGTGGACATTATTCATGTTAACAACGCAGTTTCGGTGCGCTGCAGGCGGTTGTGGAGGCGGATCTTGCTTTTCTGGAGGATCTTTTGTGACATTGTAGGAGTAGACTAAGGAGGGATTATTAAAAAGGCAGATTTATTGATTTCCGTACATTTTTATCGTTTTAATTTGGCATAATCAGTGCGAATCGCGCTTCAGTGTGAATGTTGCTGAATTAACTTGTAAGTACAACTACAGTATTTCCCATTATGTATTTTCTGTACCATTTCTGTACTGTACCACCAGAAGAAACAGCGATCCCTGCGATAATTTTTCAAGCTTGTCTCTCCTTTCTCTGGCAGCAAGTACAACATGTACAAGTACTCATGGAAGGCAACGTTCACTTAAATATAACGTGCGGTTGTTGTGACCAAAATTCATACCAGTTTAGCAATAACGTATAGAAAGGATTTGAAAAGGATAAAAAAATGGATATTTCTGCGCAGGGTAATAAATGCTATACATTCCTACATATACTTAGAGCAGAATTCATTATTGTAATGGTGAAGAGTGCATGATTTTCAGACAGCTGCTAATTAGTTTCCTTAGCGAATAAAGATGCTTTTGAGCTGACCATGAATTTTATACGTAAAAAGAATAACGTAGGTACATGGGATGAGAACTGATAATATTATATTAATAGGAAATTGGTTAGCAGTTAATTTTCGTGATTGACCTGAGCTGCTGTGCAAAATACTGCGCAAGTTTAATAGAAAATACAATACCATGTTATAACTTGTGCTGCGCTTTAACATTTGAAGTTCAAACGTGTATAATCCGACCTATTAAGGTCTCACGTACCGGTAGCTGCACTTACCGAACCACATGAGCAGAGACAGTGACGGTGCCAGATTCTCCGTCAGGTCCTGGACAATGCTACCGGGTATGTAGCTCCATACTACGCTGGGCAGAAAACAGACGATGAAAAACACCGCTACCGTTCCCGTTCGCTTAGTGATACCCAACTCCACACTGAACCGGTGCTTGAAGCGCAACGAGGTGTCCTTCTGCTTATTCCGCCCCACCGCTGTCCGCACCAGACACACTTTGAAGACAATGAGCGTATAGCAGATACACATGACCACAATGGGGGCAATCTGAAAGATGAACCCGTAGGCGTTAATATGTTGCTCCCTTAATGACGTGTGCCGCATTGTGGAAAATGTATCTTGCTTTATAGACGATTGCTAATCAGTTTTATGATTCTTAAAAATAAATGGCACGTGGAGCTATAAGGCTTAGCGAACGGCTGAGAAACGGCTGCGAAACAATAAAATATTTTGGGTCAAAATCGCATCCTTATTTATCGTTATTTCAGTAATACATTATCTGTACTCGTGTATCTATATACTTAGCATGTGAACGAAAGAGCATGCAATTTAAGCGAGATATTAGTGTACCTGAAAAGGGTGATACTTATAAAAAATAGCGCTGCATATTGTCGCATGTTGTACAAACGAACGATTGAATATGCATTTACTCACAGGCAAAAAATGCATTTATTACTATTTAGATACAATGTCATCTGTATGCAGATTACAATAGTCTTGATGAATCCTCAAACATAATCGTCTGTGACATAAAATCGTTAAAATTTCGCAGGGTATCTGCATTCCGAGAGCTAGACAGGACGTTTAGGATTTATCTTGATTTTTGCTGCAGTTTCCCAAAAGTATAATCGGATTATCCATATATCATTGGCAAAAAATGCGCCGAAGCCACCGGCAGACATTTCCGCTTGCGTGCTACAGCCATTTCCGTATGTGCATGTTACGTATTTGAGGGCGGCTGTGGCATTATGAGAACCCCTATAGTGCGCAAGACCTTGACCTATGAACGCCTGACTGGCAGGACTA